CACACACACACACACACACACACTCACACACACATAGGGGCCTACACTCACACATGCACACACACAAACAAACACTCACATACATACACACAAACACACGGATATTATGCACACCCACGTGCGCTTTCAGTTAGAAAAATAATAATATGTTTGTTTTTTCTTGTTATGACTATTCGACGAAGGATGCGAAAATTGCGATATTTTAGGCCTTGGCCTTGAGTTTGGAGAGAAAAGAATCTTTCGTTTTGGAGTTTTCCAAAGTAAGAAGTGATTGTTGCGGGAAACTCCGAACCGAACTGGGAGTGGGCTGACGCTGAAGAGAAGAGACCAACATTATGCATGTCTTTGTAGGGTAGGAACTGGCCAGATCTGTCTCAGCTTTAATCCTTTGTTTGCTCAGAGTTGTTAAGATGATGTTCTAGCCTATTCTGTCTTGAATTTTTTGTCAACAAGACGGAGGAACAATTTAAAGACGCTGTGTGTATATTGTCCCTTTTTACTTTATTTATTCATTCTAAATAAACAACTCTGATCGCAAGTATCTCGAATCTCCTCTGGGTTTTTTTCAGTTCAGTGTGCCAATGAATGCTCCAGCTGCCTACCTCGGAATCCTACTCAGTGCACTTGGTGCCGAGAAGCGGGAAAACTGGTACAGAGTGGACGCTGTGTGGACAGGTGCCGGAATGGTTTCTTTCCAGGAGGGGACAACACTTGTCACGGTGAGATAAGGCGACCGTCTTTTGGGGTGAAATGCCTAACTTATTAATGTCTTTTAAAAATTATCTGTAGATCTAGAGACACCTGTGACTGAGTAAGGCCTTCAGGTTTTCATACTAGATCTAGATATATCTAAATCCAAAATCAGGAAAGAGGCTAGAGCAACATCTAATCATAGACGCCCAATGCAATAAAAATGCTGTTTTGTAAATTGAGATTCTTGGAAGGGGAACGTTCTGAATCAATTTTCATTAGATCTAGATCTAGGCCCTATCTTTATACTTTATATTTAAAGACAAGCTGAGCCTCTAACAACAGTTTGCCTGGAAAAGGAACAAAAAATGTGCTTACTTCAAACATTTGGGGGATGCAGATTTGATTTTTCGAAAGATGAACTCCTAGTTCAAAATCATGCATCAATAGCCCTACCACTATTTTCGTTGGTGATCCTGAAGAGAGTGCTGCTGGGAGACATTATGGTTATAAGTCAGTGCCTTTAAAAAATTGAGTGTTTTTTCTGATCTATTTTGGATAGTAATTTGAAGAGTTTTGAACTATGCCTAAAGCACTTTGAATATAACTGATGTATTAATTGTCTGTTGTTACAGCTTGCCATGAAAGTTGCCACACTTGTTTTGACAAATCTGAACACCATTGTCTTACCTGTCCCCCACTGTATCTGATCAAAGATGGAAAATGTGTCAAGCAGTGTGGCCAGGGCTATTTCCGGAGAGAAGCTAAATGCTTATGTAAGTGTATTGTTTCTTCATCAGTTTCATTTGGTTTCATCTGAAGCAGGCCTGTTGCATGATCTTACTTAACTCATCATAATAGTAATTTTTATCACTATCATTGTCATAGGTGAAATTTCCATCATAATTGACATCATTTATAATAATCAGTCATTGTCATTATCCTTCTACTTCTCTTTGTTACCATCATCATCGTCATGGTCATGAAACAGAAGCAAAATCATGTGTCTGCTATGGGATCTGTAGCTTTAGGAGGCCTACCATTCCTTTTTCACTACTTTTATTGTATTGCTGATTCATGATACGCTGCCTTTGTTATTTAGCCTTGTGATCTTTGAAGTGGACATGATATTCATATCATCATAATTGGTGAGAATGCACTTCTTTTGAAACTGCTGAGAAAACGTATATGAAATAGTGAACAAAAACAGTAATTAACTTTTTGTATCCTCTTGTTTCATACTTAATTTGATGTAGTTTTGTACTTCCCTTTCACTTTCAGCTTGCCATTCCCAGTGTTCAGCATGTACAGGCCCTCATCCTGACCAGTGTTTAGCATGCACTATCAAGGGTCAGGTGCTGAAAGGAAAAAGATGTGTTGACGGGTGTGGACCAAAATCTTTCCTACAAGGCCAAGAGTGTCAAAGTGAGAAACATATTGCATTTTGAATAAAGAAACAGTTTTTTCTTTTGATAATGTTAACTTGTTGTTGTGGAAGTCTCATTCCCAACTACAACTAGACATACTTTAGGTCATAATGAAGATGGAGAATTTGGTCACTGGTCAGTGTACCGGGTTGAGATGAAATATTGCAAGAAGAGCAATCAATATACTTGACACCCCACTCTGACTCAAACCTCATAGTTCTGTGTATAGATTATCAGGCTTGCATTCTGCAACGCCACCAACTGTGAACAACTTATAAGGTCTTGATTTACATTTGTCCTCAAGCCTGCCCCACTACCTCAATGATACAGTTGAAGAGATGTATCTTGGAATTGTATGTAGACGGTGTGGGACTTGGTTTGTTATTTCTGGGTCAATTTATTGTCTCATGATATATATCTGTATTTTGTTGTGAAATGTGAAATACTGCTTCTGTCTAGTTAGGTGCTGCCAGGAGAGTCTGAGACTATATTTTTTTGTCTGCTTTATTATGCTTATATCTTTTGTCTGTGCTGTTCCCCAGACTGTCCCCAGACATGCCAGAGCTGTGTGCCTGATGGCCCTGAGTGTTCCTCCTGTCGTTCCGAGATGTTCTTGTTCCGTGGACAGTGTCTGTCCACTTGTCCCAGAGGAATGTACCCTGATGGACAAGCTTTGTGCCAGGGTAACATTGATGATTCTTATTCAGCGGCAAGTTTAGAATTTCTGGTATTCTCTCGACAGAATTTGTATGTTTCTTGGTTTGAGCCCTGAGAGGCCTATTTTGCTTCATACTTTCTATTTTTTGTTGTGTAGGCCTGTGTTTGCACCTTTCCATATTATCTTCAACATTTTTTCGAAATGCATGTCTTCATGGTTCCATTTTTGTTTTGTTGTATATATTATATTGACCTTAAAGAACATTGATTTTGAATATTATATCTACTTTTGAGTTGAATATTTTTCAACTTACGAAAAATAAGAAAAAAAGCTGCATAATAATGGAATGTCAGACACCTGTAAAAGCAAACACCGTCAGCTTTCTGTCTTATGATTTACTTTATGTTTAACTAAAACAGTCATGACTTTCTGACTTAGTACCTGTGTATCCACGTACAATGTTGTCTTGAAAATTTTCACGATTTTAAAGAAATTATTTCAAGGCTTTAAAATTTTGCTGTTTCAGTTTGTCATCCGTCCTGCTCTGACTGCAAGGGGCCAGGGTTATCTGACTGTACTGCTTGCCACTACGGACTTCAAACTTTGAATGGGAAGTGCAATGAAGAGCATGGTCAATGCGGAGCAGGACAGTATGTGACAAGAGATCTTGAGTGTGTTGGTGAGAAGTTGTTGTACTATCCATTGTGAACACATGGATCATTCTTTTTTTATTTCATCTGTACCGTAGGGGGTTAAATTTTACGTTATTATTGTCCTTTATAAAATCATTATGTACCTGTTTAAGTCTTACTGTTAGAAATTTGAAGCAGCAAGATGAATCCCGCTCTTGCATTGTTTATATTATTTTTTACTTTTTACTCTTTTTTTAATTACATGTTTGAATAAATCTCCATGTTCCACTCAGGCTGTCAGTCTGATGAATTATAACAGAAGTTTTTTTCGGAAGGCCGATTGGTCAGTTTTGTTTCTTTTTCAAATTCTTAAGAAAAAGTGACAGACATTCTACTTAGAGGCATCTCAGATGAAACAGACATTTTTTGAGGGTTTAGATTTGCTATACCACTTCTGAAATGAAATATTTCCACATAGGCTTATGGACCTGGTTTGTGGGTACAATCTAGTAGTTAGTTTGTGATCCATTTGGGTAAAAGTTTTCATCTTTTTATGATTGTTTCTTGCGTTTATATAGCCAGTCGAATTTCTTATTTCCCTATTTTTCCTCATTTTCTTTTTAGACTGTGCTCCTGGTTGTGCCATATGCTACCCCAGCCAGGATGGATTGGGCTCACTTTGCTCTCAGTGTGTGGAGGAGATGTTTGTTCTTTCTGGCACATCATGCAGGAAGACTTGTAGATCCGGAACTTTCCTCAGAGATACAGTTTGCCTTTGTAAGAGCTTGAAGTCACATAGATTTAAAATAAGTTGATCAAACTGAAATGTGTTTTCAGTGCAGAGATAATGGTTCAAAAGCCTTTTGTAATGATGTAATAATAAAGATTGGTTTCTTCTTTCAAAAGATGAATAGTTGTTTGGAAAACATTGTGGCTGAAATCACTGTTAATTAATCTAGGATTTCATAAATACTTCAAGTATCAGGATATTTGTTGTTTTCCACAAATTCATATAAATGTTAGCCATAAATTGGACCTGTAATATTTGAATAAATCATTTTAATTCATATGGATGTAATGTTGCATGAATTAACTTGATTAAGTAAAGGAAACATTTCAACATTTATTTTCTCAGCCCTGTTTCATGCAAATGCACTCTTCTCTTCAGTGAGTTTTCATTTGTGGGTCATAAGTAGATTGTGCAAATTTATGACATTAATGTCTTACAATTACTTTGTCATATTTACTTATTTGACTTATTTTTTAAATGAATTACTCGATGTAAAGCTACTTTAAAGTGTTCTCTTGTTTCGTTATGACCCCAAGTTTAAACAAGAATTCTGAATAGTATGATAAAAATGAATTCAGGAGTAGGATGATTTTGTTTCCATCTTGCTCTCTATCCCTCACTCTCTCTTTCAGCTTGTGATGAGAAATGTGAAGTCTGCAGTGGTCCTGCTCAGTGTACCAAATGCCATCAGCCTTTTCTGCTTTCTGATGGACATTGTACCATGGCCTGTGGTCCTAAGACTTTTACTACAAATGATGGTGTCTGCCAAAGTAAGTACAGTGTATTTTAATTGTTCAAGTGTGATCTCCTGCTTTCACCTCTTTTTGCTGTTGCCAGTGACCTAGTCTATTATAAAGTAATGTGGCAAATATTGTGTGGACTCACAGTAAGCTTCAACTTGACAGCTAAAAAATCTTCAATTGCATTCTTTAAAAATGCAATATTACCACTTGTATATGAGCCCTGCTCCTCAATATTGATTTGTTGTTTAGTTAACAATGCAATTAGATCTATTTAGGATGTGATGTTTTTGTGTGTGTTAATTTCGTCATTTTTACTTCAGTTACCAAAAGTTGAAATAACTTTTTTTTCTTTTTCTTATGATCTCTTATTCTTTTTCTGTTTAATTGAATGAAAGGTATTTCAAGTTTTTGTTCTCTTTCTAGGGTTCTTAAATTGATTTTTTTAAAAATATCTGTAAAGGACAGGTCTGGACTGTGTATTACAACCTCTCTCCACTTTGTCCCATGCCTTTTGAGTCCCTTGTGTGCATGTTGCCGTACTTCTTCGTAAGGCATCATCTCCTTTTCTTCTTCATGTCATATGTAAGGATTTCTTGTCAGGGTCTGACCTGTAATAGTATTTGTTTATATCCTCAGAATGTGACAGAACAGCTCTTGTTTGTATTTGTTTTTTCCAATGTCTTTTCTCCAGTTTCCCACTTCCTTCTTTTTCTTACCAGTTGTATTGAGTTTATTGCTAAGAGTTAGTTAATTAAGTCTTTTAATGTTTTTCAGGTTGTTCTGCTAACTGTCTGGAGTGTTCTGACCATTCCTCCTGCACCTCCTGTGATAGCCAGACTTTTCTGAAAGATGGCGTCTGTGTCACGTCATGTGGAGAGAACAGTGTCACTCGACTTAGAGAAAGGATGTGTGAGGGTATGTCAAGATTAATTATGCATATTTATCAGGAGTTACCCTTTGAGAGGACCTCATCATCATAGCTTTTCTCACCCTGGATCAGGATATAGGCCGCGAACAAACCAATTCCACCTTTCCCTATCCTGGGCTTATAGTTGCAAGATGTCACTCCATGTCTTCCCACTTTTCTGTACATCCATTACCATGACTCTTCTCCAGGTTCCACGTGGTCTTCCCCTTGATCTTTTATTCTGTGCGTTCCAATCTAACACTTTCCTTGTTATACAGCTGCTTGACTTCCTGAAAGTGTGTCCAATCCATCGCCAATGCCTTCTTTGCACCTCATCTCTGACTGGGCTATATCTCTTTCTTACTTCCTCATTGGTGATCCTATCTGTCCATTTCAGAGGATGTGGTATGATGGTATCTTTTGAAACTTTATCTTTTCTGTCTGTCTTTTATTTCTCTGTGATATCTTCCTTTTTCTCATCCCTGATGCACTTGAAGTTATGGATGCTCCATATTTTCTTTTTCTTCCAGAACAATTTGTTTGTTCTTACCCCTTTCTGACTGATGTCACATGTTTCTTTTTTATGATACTCCAGCAAGTTTAAGAAACATCTCAGACTGCAATGATAACTTTAATATATTATAGTTTTATTGCTTTTACATTTTCATTCATAATACCATAGAATTTTAGACTTGAAGGACGGTAAGTTAGATTAGAAATAGCTGTCCCTAAAAAGAAAATAAATTCAAAACAATGGAAGGAAATTTAAAGGAAAACAAGAAAGATTCACTTTGATATCCTTTGACCTTCTTCTGGACGAATCAAATCTGTCCGCAAAGTAAGAAAAGGTGTCAGTAATTTTATGAATATTTGTATATATTTGCAGACAACTCCTATCCACCAAAGCTGGAAGTATTGGCAGAACTAACAGTGAAAGAAGGAGGAATGGCTGATTTGTCGAATGAGATAGTACATGTGACTGACCAAGATACTGGGCAAAATTATCTTTCTCTCAAGATTGAATCTATTACTCCTTTGGGTGAGTAATTGTTTGTGGATCAAAATTTAATGTTTTTAAAATGTTAAATAATTAGTGTGGGTATGCAATTCTTAACTGATATGAATGTAGCTATTCTTTGTGTTTGATATACCTTTGAGATGAGTGATCCTCTTTAAGATTGTCACCAACTAAATAACTAAAAACTAATGAACTCTTGATGTCTTGTTGAAAAGAATTTTAAAGTTTTTTTCCAACTCTTATTAAAAAGTCCATAATGACTGTGACATTTTCATTTGTAAATTGTATTACATTGGTACAATTCAATTAAGATACTGATCCAGTTTTTGTTCTTCTTTACTCAGGTCAAGTAATTAAAGTTGACATTATGGGCAATACTTTGCTGAATGAAGGAGACACCATCAGACTGGAGGATGTGATGTATAACAAAGTACGATTTCTCCATGGAATGGGAAGAGGCTTTAGAGGTTTGTGTCACTGCAACTGGAAAGAGAGTACTGTACACAATAAGCTGAAAGTTAACACAAAGAAAAGAAAAATGGTTTTCTAATAAAAAGATTGTAAATTAAAATGTGCTAAATGGAATTCCCATTATTTTGTTGAGAAAAATTATGTAATCGTCTGTCATTCTAGTTATGCATGCATTGGCAGGGATAGAGCAATGTTGTCAACACTAATGAAGATGTTAAGCCCTGAACTTTTATTAATTCAGAAGGATAGTAATCATTTTTTCTTATATGTCAATAAAACTTGCAAAGCAATAGATATTTGTTTAAGTAGTGTATCTATTTTCAACCCTTTTTATTTTCATAGGTGTTATAGCATTCAAGGCTTTTGATGGACAACTGTATAGTGAGGAAAAAGAAGTTTCTGTGAACGTGTTACCAAAGGAGGTTTTGGAATTGGCTGCAAACAGGCCTCTTCTGGCTGTCACTGGTCAGGACACAGAACTGACCTCAGATGTGCTGAATGTTAACATTCCAAATCAGCAAGTCGGAGTTGCTTTCATTTTGTTAAATGGTAAGATTAGCTGTTCCATGTTTCTGGAATCAGTGTCTGTTCTGTGTACAAATTTTCCTGCTCATGGCATAGAATAGAGTTTGGTAAAGTAGGACATTTATATTAAAAATGATTGCACCTGAGGGAATTCAGTGTTAAGGCAAAATGATATTAATATGAAGTGGGAAGCACCATCTTTGTCCTTCGTTTGTACAAGTTGAAACATGTTATCTTCAGAGTTTCATCAGAAATATGTGGATGTTGTGACATAGTCATAATTAAATCTGTTATCATCCTTGTCATTTTTATTTAGATTATGTCTTGAACTCAAGGGTCAGAGTAATACTAGCTATCTAATTCTATTTGGTTCCCATTTCTCACAAGGTCCATCACATGGAAAGATGGTCTTTAAAGATACACGGAAATTAGTGAGAAAGTTCACTGTTGATGATCTAACAGAAGGTCGAATAGTTTACAGTCACTCTGGGAATAGTAGTGAAATGCTCGACATGATCAGATTGGAAGTGACCAATGGCTTACGTCACTTGTCCGCTGTTCTGCCTATCAAGATCCAATCGAAGGTAAAGAATTTACTTTTCTACCTAATTGCTTTTTTTTTCTAATTGTATTTATTGAACTGCTTATGTCATGAATTTGTATTTAAGATTTGTGCTTACAAAAATGATTTGGTCAAATTCGAAATGTTTGAGCTGTGTTCTTTTTTGCCCCGAATGTTAGTACCAGTACTAAAGTTGAGGAATTATGTGTTGCATAGACCCCCCTCTGAAACTTTCTACTCCTACGTTCATTTCTTACCTTTTTTCAAATATTTGTTCCATGCAGTTTAGTTTTTGTTAAAGTTTTATGGCACTTGCAACAAAATAGGTTATATAAGTGCCAAAGGTGTTATTAGAGAGTAACATACAAAGAAAAGTAGGAGGATAGATAAGGATGATAGATGTTTGATAGTAAAGAAGGAGCAAACCATACTAGAGCACCCGCCAACAACCCACTATTTATTCCCTTGAAATGATTTTTTTTTCTGACTTTATTCAAACTCAGCAGTTTAAACGAATACACCAACGTTGTGGTCCTAAAGTTGTGATGGGTTCAATATTATTACTAAATAATGCTACTATAAGCCTCAAGTCAGAGGTTCACTGAAGCCTTTGCAGTGCAGTTATTTGACTTTCGCCAGCTAGACTGTACAGCTTAACACCATCTTTGATTATTATTCAACTTCAGAATTTTGTGTTTGGTCTACAGACTGGCAGCATGCCAGTAATTCTTTCAAACACTGGAGGTCATGTCTTTCAAGGAGACGTGATGCAGATTTCTAGGGATGTGCTGGAAGCGAAAATAATGTCAAGTGACTTATTCAAAAGCCAAGCTGATGCAGTGTTTACTTTGGTTCCCACCACAGACAATCCAAGAAATGGTATGTGCATGTAATTGTGACTTGCTTGTTTCATCCAGCAGTTTTTGTAAGATATGTGGTGTATTTTCATGCTGTCTGTTACTAGAAGTAGTCAGTTTCCTATAGAAAAGAGATATCTCATTTGAGGAGCACTAGTTGATTGCGAAAAATTATAGTTTTAATCTTCACATTGGAAAGGTCAATGAGGAATAATAAAGTTTAACTCTTTATCTCCGAGGGAAGTACTCCCACTATGTGGGGCCCTCTTTTGGTATGAAATCTAAAAGTGACATATACATCACTAGTTCAGTTATTGAATTTAAAAAATTAACTTATTTGATGGTTCTTCATCCAATGAACGAACTCCTGATAAAAGAGACCTGCTTCCAGCAATTGCTGAAAACTAATTTGACCCTGAAATCATCATAAAGGAATGGGCCAGAGCCACTGCCAGTAGCTCAGTGGCACAGCAGTTCTGACCACAAGCTGACGGGAGTGGTTTGCCAGAGATAATGAGTTGAGAGATATCTTAGAAATAAGGTAAAAGAGTCTGACATATTCACTGTGCTTATTCACTTTTTCCAGTGGCATGCACTGTGCTGAATGCTATTTCCTGTCATATGTTCTTGTCCAGTTTGATGTTTAGCTTTTATTTGATAAGAAATGTAACCTCACAAAATGATGGAGTTCAAAACTTTGTTATACACACTGAGTAAAACAGAATTTTGAAGTGTATGCTTATCATGTGTTTCTGATTGATTGAACTCTTTTCTTTTGACAAGAAAGAAACCTCTGAGGAATTAAGGACATTATTCATTGGAGAGAGATATTGTGAAACAAGACTTGTAAATGCTCATGATTTTGCAGGTGAAGTCATGATGGTGGTGCCCATTCCTCAAGATGGTCCAAGCAGTGGTTGGACTGATATGGGCTCAGGCATGATGGGGGCACGCATGTTTCGGTTTTTGCAGAGAGATATTAATGAAGGCAGAATCTACTACAAGCATAATGGAGATGGATTCCTATCTGACAGTTTCACATTTGAGGTAAACTTCTGAGGAATATGCTCTCTGAGTACTACTTTAGTAGTTTTGATTTTTTGCATATTTTGGTTCACATTTGTGTCACATCTTGGTTAACATCTTCTACTGCATGTATATTAGCTGTGGACATAACATTTACAAGTCCTACCAAATGCTTTCCTTGCCTTTTTTCAAAGATTGGCCTTGACTATCTTGCGTGTAGATGTCATGTCCCATCAAAGTCTACGGAATCTTGTTGGGGAGCACAGGACAAGTTATCAGACTTTTGTGTACTGTTATATGAAATAGGTGATTGCATATTTTATGACAATTTCAGTTCTTGATTCGCAGACTCAGTACCTATGTCCCTTCATGTTGTTCATAGTTTAAAATAAACATGAAGGATTACTTCTAAACAGGTTGCTGACACAGCAAGTCCACCAAACATTTTGAGAGACCAGATGTTCCATGTGACTGTCATGAAAGATGAGACAGAAGAATTTTCACTACCCACTCTTGCACCAGGTGTGAGACTTGGGATGACTGTAAGTGGACAAGTTTTCTTTGAGTGACTTCTCCGTGAAGTTTGTATCAATGAGATTGATATTGTCATTGTCTGGATGTTGTCACAACCAAGTTTTTATGAATGTGCTTTGTGTGTCATGTGCTGTTTTGTTTCTCTGGGAGATAAAAAACATGTTATGATCTAGCTCAAACATTTTAAGTGGTTTGAGCGCATTATATGTTTTGTTCTCAGATTGTCATGGATAAAAAGAACATTCCTTAAGATTCTCTTTAAAGAATTGCACCAAAGAATGGAAGTTGTCATCCATGAATATAAACCACAGTTCTAACCAGGACTGACATATTTCAATTTTTCTACAGCTCTGTTGGTGTGTTAAAATGTAAGCTTTTATTGCTTTGTGGTGTTGTTGTTTATATACCTTCTGCATTATGTTTAACTTGACTGCCTTGTCTCTATCTTAAGGTATTGGAAAATCAAATTGTTCCTGTAACGACCAAGTACTTGTCCTTCAATGATGTGGACACTCCTCCAGAGGATTTGGTGTACAGAATCACAACCCTTTTGCATGAAGAGGAAGGGACCATTGAACATATAGACTTTCCATTCAGTCCAGTCTTGCAGTTTACTCAGGATGATGTGAACAACAACAGAATCATTTACAGACCTCCTGATGAGGAAATTGGAATGGATGAAATGGAAGTGAACTTTCTTTTTGTTGGTAAGATTTATTCCACAGTGTAGAATTTGTATAAGCTGCTTAGTATTGAATGCTCGTCCCAGGCATGATATGTTTTGGGATGTTGTCTGAGCAAACATTTACATGTTTTTGTTTATCTATTGATGTTGTGTTTTAAGAAAAGACTTTTTGCACAAATGTTCTCTCTCCAGCCAAACTGGCATCTTGACTTAGATTGGACTTGTATCATCTATTCCATTTCTTTTTATAAACTTTGGGATAAGCTAAAAAAGCTATCAGCCCCAGACCGGGAAGGAATTTTTCTATTCTACTTGGACCATGAAATTATTCTATCTTCAGAGAGGAATGTCATTTTTCCTGGTAAACACTGGTGTTTTCCTCATGATGTGTTGCCACTCTCTTCTATTTCTGAGTACTAAATAAACTTGCCCAAACAAAATGAGTACTTATAGTCTAAAAAAGTCAGAGAAAAAGGGTCATAAAGTCCTGCAAAGCGTAACAAGCTTTTACTTACTCATGAAGCGAAAAATGACAGCATTATTTGACATGTGTTTGAAAAGAATTTAGTGCCACTGCTTTGTTTATATATTACTTTGTTACTATGTCATGAAAATGTTAGTGACAAAAATCTACTGGGCTGATTTTGAGGATCTTCTTTTTTACATTTCAGTGACTGATGGTGGAGAGGACCGGGAACTCTCAGAACACAAATTTACCATAAGAGTTGTGCCAGTCAACAATAACCCACCCTTGTTTGCAAACCCAAACCCAGATGTGACCATTTCAGAGGGTGGTATATTTCCCCTGACCTCAGGCCTCTTGGAAGTCATAGACCCTGACACGGCTCTGAACAAGTTGCAAGTAACAGTGGTTGAAGCTCCAACTTCAGGGCTAGTTGAGAAAATGCAGGGAGGACTTAGAGCAGTTGTGAGAAGTGGTATGTATTGCTCTGGGTTTAAGGTAAAGATACCTTCATTATCAAGGAGTCTGTAAACGCAGGCCCGTAAAAAATACCAAGGACCATTAGTGTGATATCTCTATGGGGGATTGGTGCTGAAGCGTATCTTTGAAAAAGTCACATTAACAATTCAGGACAGGATGCTGCATTGTGGGGATCTTAAAAATTGAATATGTGATATATTTTGCTTGTCACTGCGGAAAAAATTCATTTCATCAGGATCAAGAAAGTTATCTTATTATTCTTACCTTTATTTCCTTGAACCGTGGCACTATGTGCATCATTTTGAAAAGATAAAAAGCTAGATTGTTTGTTAGTAAATATGTTTTGTTTGTAATCTTGACTTTGAACTTAAAACAGATTCTATAAATATCTTGTCAATGTATCAATTATTGTCCTATAACATTGATGTAAGCTGTCTTTGTCATTTATTCGACAGGTGACACGTTTTCCTACTCAGATGTCCTACAGAGTACCTTTCAGTATGTTCACACGGGCAGCATTGATCCTCCGCGGGATAAGCTCAGCCTGACAGTCAGCGACGGTGTCCATGAGACGGGAAACACTGTCTACTTCACCATCATCAAGGTGGACAAGTCAGCACCCATGATGCTTCCTTCAGCCAGTTGTCAGGTTAATGTAACTGAAGGTAATATCTACATTCCCATCCTAAATGTGCCATGCACTGGATCCCCCATGTGGTCTGTTTAGTTGTTTTTGGTTGTGGCAGGGGGTTAGGCCTAGCCTATTGTATTGTTTGGCTGAAAGTGTGAGAGTGAGTCTCTGTTCAGTTGTATTGTATGCAAGTTTATAAAAGCAGTCTGAGTTACTACTGGTGGGACTTTTAGAAGGGAGAGCTGTATCAAGGCAAAGGAGGCCTGCTGAGAGTATAGGAGGAGAAAAGGCTAGTTGGAGCCTCAGTTTGTTTGTGTGTAACGTGTGAGATTCCAACACATCGGGGCCTCAAAGCTGAGGAAAGGATCACAACACAGAGAGAAACAGGTTTGGCTAACTCGAGCTGTAGGCGCAGGCAGACAGAAAGTTAGTAATGTTGAACATTGTTTTTATGTTCCAAGTAACAACACCCCACTTGTCTCATTGTTTTCTTGAATTTTTCTTTTTGCATTACATTTTCCATAAAACTTTTTTTGAATGACAGTTGATTTTTTTCTTTTTCTTTTTAAAATCTCAATGTTCAGATTTGTTTTGGTTTCAAAATGACAGTTTTTAAGTCATACGTCTCTTTTTGTTTTGTTTTACAACCTGTAGTCTGCAGGGATTATTAGTTTATATTGTTTGCAGATCGTTTTTTCACTTTTGATGAATAACTCAGAATTATTAGTCTTTACACAAGTTTCCTAAAACTTGGTCAGTTATTATTTTATTTAAATCTTACTTTCAGGTTCTTCAGTAGAGATAACCAGAAGTGAGTTGGCCTTCTCTGATGAGGATGATGAGGATAATGCTGTTGAGATTGTCTTAGCAGCAAAGACAACCCATGGTCACTTTGAAGTAGCAGAAGCTTCTGGCCAACGCAAAGTCCAAGTTGGAGATCATTTCACCCAGGAAGATGTCAATGAAGGAAGAGTTCGGTACGAAGGTCTTTTTTGTTTTAAATAGAGGGCTTAATTGTTCTTAGTTAACATTGAATTTGTAGGGCCTATTGTTTGATATTGTTTTAGCAGAATAGGATTAAATAATTCCCACACAGTGATTTGGAAGTGCAGGATTGAGTGGGGGGTGGGGGGAGAAACAGGACTACTGCTCTCTTGTGGAAGCTCAACCTTTCTACTGGCTTAATAGCATATGTGAACATTTGTACTCAGATGTACTTGTGTGATTTTTCCTCAAAGGCATCATCCCAGATATATTCCCTTTTTTACATTTTTCTTACTCCTATGAAAGAGCTAAGTGCTCCATCATACAAATTATCTATTTGTTTCAAACAGACATTTCTGTCATGGCTTTCAATAGCATTTACTGTACCTTGGTCATACAATTGACGATAAGTGTGAATGGATTCTATAATTTGTTCTGACAGCGTTGAAAAGATCAGCTGTAGAGAAGTGTAGTTCCGCTTTTATATACATGTACTTCTCAAAGACTCGTTAACATAAATCTCTTATCTTTGTAGTCTTGAGTTCAGGTATAACAAAGTGATAGGTCTTAAAATAATTTTACAATACTATTGCTATGATATAAAACTGTCCAAAGTTATTGGAAATATAACATATTTTTATTTTGAACATAGAATTTACAATACTGGCATGAATGATCAGAATAGATGATTTTGTTTGCTGCCTGTAAGATTATGTAGAATATTTTCTTTTTTTTCTCAAGTTTTCACGCAGAACAAGAGATTGGCCCTAGAGCTTTAACGGAGCTGGTCTATGTCAATGTGACTGATGCTAGTGGCAATCTTCTTCCAAGTCAGATTTTGTCAGTGCTGATCACGCCTGTGGATAACTTGGCTCCAGTGGTCGTTGTTGGACCTCTACTTAAGGTGAGGATGTGGAAACCAAACAAGTTTAGTAATGCATGTGAAGCATTCGTTATGTTGTTCACTCATTGTATTTGATGAGACTTCATAATATCTCAAAAGGCACATTACTGTGTTTCAACAGTAGGCCAATGAGTCAAACTCTGCTGCAAGTTGAGATGGAGTCCATTACTGTTGTGTATGTATTGTGAGAAACATTGTTACAGGGGATGAAAAATATGAGCATTGTACTTTTATATATACATGTGTGGGTATATGTTGACATTTGCTCGGTGGAATGTCCTTTTATATGTATTTGCACATATGCACTCTCAGTGGTAAACATCTGGCTGTCTTGATTGTACATGCACACAATTACTTGCCTGATAGTACACACATACATTCATATGTGGACACAATGCTTTCATCTCTGTTTTCTAATTTTCCTTATGCTCTCGGGAACAGTCGGAGTGATTTTTTTTTTTTTTTATTTTTTTTTTTAAGCAATGGATAACATGAAATTTAGAAGAGAATCATTCTCTATTATGCATTGTGACTTTTGTTTTTTTAAAGTAAAATGGAAATGTTGCCTTTTAGCCTCTGAATTTTAGGGTGTTTGGTTTGACAGTGTTAGGGCTGCCTGCCTGCTCTATCCAACAACAAAAAAGATGTAAAGAGAATTTTAAAAGGGGTTGAGAAAAAAAGAAAGTTGGTGAAATGTCTAATCAAATCATTTCATCAGTATGTTTGGTTTGTATTCTCAACAGGTTGAGGAAGGTGGAGAATCTGCTATAGGAGCTGACTTGATTAGTGTGTTGGATGTCGACTCTCCCATTGGGCAACTCATGTTTATTGTTGAGACAGATCCTAGCTTTGGTAAAGTGGAGAACAGAAAGCCAGGTGAGACATTTATTATGTCTGTTCTGTTTTTTGTACTTTCCTCTCTAAAATAACTGTGTGAGACAAATGCAGTTCCTGAGCATTAAACTAAAAAGATGGAAGGCATAAGAGGCAAAGGTAGACTGAGAACAACTTTCTCAGAGAACAGATGGGTGGCAGGAAAAGACCAGGATACTATAGGGTTTTGAGAGTATCCAAGTACGGAAATGAAGGGTGAGCTATGGTTACTGATGTCTAGAGCTGGATTCTGCTCGGTTAATCGAAGGCTTGCAAAGCAGCGGACGGCTTGCGCTAGAGGCTTGCGAGCAGGCTTGTGATTTGCTTTGCCTCCCGTTTGATACCGGAGGGAACTTCCGGTGAGTTGTGACTCGCGGACAGTCCTGCTGTACTGTGTCGTGACGTCGCGAACTCTTGTGGCTGTGGGTTCAGTACATATTACAGAAGATTCTCTGGTTATTTGCGTTGAGAGGCTTGCACCAAAAGTGCAAGATAGTTTTTTTTTTCATATTTCGGTTGTAAAAAACAAATAGCTCTATTCAATGCACTTAAAAATTAATATTGGATCGACTATTCTTACGATGTTAAGGCCTGTTTATTTTTAATGTGCACGAGCCAAGCGCTTCATCGTCGCACACAAAAGACCTCAGTTTGATTCCTGTATGGGGAGAAATTTTTACTGAGAACCTCCGTCTTTCTGCTGGGGCGTTGTTCCCTCTCATCCCAGGTTGGCCCTGACATTGAGTTGAAGTAGGCCTAGTCCATCTCCTAAATGTTCTGTATTATGTCACTGTGAGTGTAACACATCTACAAAATAGGTTACATACATACGATACAAAAGCCAATCACAACGACCCCTGGAGTTTTCCATTCTAAGGTAATCTAAGTCTACTTATTCTTATTACTACCAGAAACCTAGGTCTCTGTTACTACAATACCACGCTCCCTCTCACTTATCCATTCGCTTAGCTGATCAACGGCGGGAAGTTAAAAATAACTTCAGCTCTCTACGTCTTGCACCAAAACAAGCCCAGCCTCTCTCTTCCTCCACGGTTCAAAGTTCACACAGCGAGCGGTACTGCTGTTTGAACACATCGAGTGGCTCTGTCGCCATTGAACGGTCCTGCGCCTGCCGCCATCGAGTGGTCCTGCGCCTGCCGCTCGCTCGCTGTAGCGAGACAGCACAAGTCAGCAGGTCAGGCTTCGAGCTTGTTGTGGGACAATTCACTAGGCCTAGCGCAAAGCAGTACTGTGTGAATCATGGGACTTGTGGCTGCGGACGGGATTTGAGACTTGAGGGCTGTCCACTGCTTTGCGCAGGCCTTCGATTAATCAAGCAAACTACAGCGCCACGCCGCGCAGTGACACTGTGGGCAGGATCTCTCACTCTCCCCCTCTCTCTTTTTCTGACGTAAGTGGCTTCGCGGATTGCAAGCAGGGTGGGGATGATGAGGGGGTCTGACACGAGTGGCTTCACGGATTACTAGTTGCTGTGGACTTGAAGTTTAAACTAGACCAAGGAGATTACAGTTTGTGCTAGACTCAACTTATCATGCTGGTGATTCGATTTGATGATTTGACCTAGTGATTTCAGGCTTGTGACTTGAACTAGGGGCTTGCGAGCACGAGCGGGTTTGCTACCGGGGTACAGTCGTACTGAGGTCTGTTTCAGATCAGGCATTTGAAGAAGAAGAAATCTATATGAGTTCCCTGGGAAATGTGAAATGATTTGATCTTTTGTGTTTTCTGTGTAGCCTGAGTGAATTTTTAACCAAAATTTTTATAAGCTGTTTTGTGTTAAATGTAAAGCGGTGCATCATTAACAAGGCAGTTTTGTAATGACAGTGCTCAATTTCAAGTGCGTTTTAAGTATTAAGTGTCATAAAAAAATAAAGTAGTAGCACTCATATTTCCCGTTTGAAGTGAAAGTGAGGGGCAAAGGGACAAGAGGGCTTTGAGATCTGCTGTGATGCCATTGATAATAGTTTTTTCACCATCTCACCATAGATTCAATACACTGATTTATGGACTTTTGCAAATTTATTTGCTCACTGAAAAAAAGACATGCTAATTTTTTTTTCTTTTAATAATTGCATTTATATAGCACATATCCATGCTCTACAGCATGCTCTCTGTGCTTTAAGCTATTATTACCCCAGCAGATCTTAGAACACTCAGAAACATCCTTGGCCTCTTGGAAAGCATACAGTGCAAGCAGCAGATTAAGTGCTCAAACACTAACAAACTGATTATAATTGTTGCTTTTTCAGCCAAAGGATCTGAGAAAAAGACCCCCAAAAGTGCCAAGTCTTTCCCTTTGACTGATCTCATAGATGGACATATTCACTACACGCAGTCTGATCACAAGAACAAGGAACCTGCTTGGGACGCTTTTCTCTTTTCTGTTACTGATGGAAAAAATGAATCCCCTCTGCAGAGGTTTAACATATCTATCAAGGTACTTCCATATCATCACAATTTGCTTGTTATTTTGACTTCTGCCTTTAAAAATAAGTTGCCTTTTTAAAAAACTCCGTCTTGGTGTGGTTCTATGAACGATGCTTTTTTATAATATTATATTGCCTAAAGAAAATATTTGTGTGTGTCCCTAAAGAAAGGTACCAAAAGTTGGATTAATTTTTGAGATATCTCAAGTAGTTTTTGAGATATTGCACATTTTGCGAGGTAGGATATAAAGGTCTAATTTGGAGAAAATTAGCTTTTATTTTTAAAACACAAACAGACTTGAAAAAAATGATGACTGAATTGTTTCTAATGTATTTATTAATGGAAAATTTATTTCCACTTCGGCATTCATTTGACATCAATATCATGATTAAAATTCAATGGTAAAACGTAGCGGGGAAGAGAAAACATGCTTCATGAATAGATTTCAACACCTTTTAAAAGCAGTTTTCATTATCTTTTTTAAAACACTCTACCCTCAAAATAATTCAAAATAAAATATTTAGAAGTCAAATCAATGAAAACTCTTTTAACACATTGTAAAAAAATGGTGGAACTATCATTTTTTTACGGAAACACATTTTGGTCAAAAAAGTGATTTTTTGTCATTATCAGTCAGCTGTAGCGGAAAATGGTCTGTGGCGACTTTTGATACCCTTCTTTAGGCCCACACACATTTGTAATTTCTGTACCTTCCCCCCCGTCTCCCTCCTCGCATCCCTTCCCTCATTCTCTCTCTCTCTCTCTCTCTCTCTCTCTCTCTCTCTCTCTCTCTCTCTCTCACTTTCTCTATTGGTATCTGTCTAAGTGCTATGGTTTTCTGACAAACAATTTGCTTTAATTAAATTTCATTTTTTTTAAATTTTTGTGTTGGTGTTTACTTAGGTTAACTTTATCTGAGTCTCAAATTTTAATGTGTTTTGACATATTACTCCACATATGTGCTTCATTATCTCATAGTGACTTTGTGAGCCCTTATGTGTTTATAAGGACAGGATCAATTAAAGGATATAGAAGTAGAAATGGGGCTAAGAAAATGGCAATGGATGGAACACACCCTCAGAAAGCTCAGCAGAAACATCACAAGACAGTCGCTGCAGTGGAATCCACAGGGAGCACGAGGCAGGGTAGACCACGGGAAACATGGAGGAAATGTATGGAAAAGGACATGAGAGAAAAGAGCTCTTGGAATGAGCCTGGAAAGATGGTCCAGGACAAAGATAAATGGAAGGAGCTTGTATGTGGCCTATACCGTGCCAGGGGAGAAAAGCATTGAGGATGATGATGATGTGTTTATGTTCAGCTTTTACGTTGATATGGACCCAATGCATTTTATGTCTTTCCATTGCATTTACCACAGATTTGCTAGTTAGCTTCAATATTGCGATCAGGTTTTTATTTCATATTTTTGTATGGATAGGGAAGGTTTCAATACTGATATATACTTTACTGCAAATAAAGTTACCACTCTGTTTTCTTTTCATACTTCTCAGCTCCTAAACGATGAAGCTCCCCAAATCATCACAGAACAGCTGTTTGCTAGAGAGGGTAGAGGAGTGACACTGACCAATGCCTCAATGTATGTGGTCGACTTAGACTCTCAACCTCAAGACCTGATGTTTACCTTGACAACCAGTCCAGCCAATGGCCAGTTGATGAAGAAAGAATATTTTCTGGATCCTCCCGAAGAGGCAGGTGTTCTGCAGGAAAAGTCCACTTTCACATATGAGGTAATTGAAAGGTTGCTCTATAAATGACAACATTTCTATGGATAGTATCATTGTCACTGTCTAATAGAAGATAAAGCAAAAAGATGTATCTTTGTGTTCTGTTTTGGGTGCTGCCACGCTTTGTATTTTATGTGTTTGGACATCTGGTTGAGGTGAACCAAAGTTCATGATTTCACCTGCACTAATGTGGTCAGTTCATAACCAAAATACTGACCTATAGATTTGATGCTACCTGGATAGGTTATAAGTTCTATATAGGCTTGTGGGCCTTATGAAAACCTCATGGCATAGTGGACATTGTCGGAGTGAATGATCTTTCTCTCAGTTTACCTGTTTGTTGTGAGTCTGTGGCCAATTCAGCTGGACTTTGTGCCTGTGTTGTGGATAAGGTCTTGTTTGTTTGTTTTTTTTATCTAGTCTTCACAAACATTTTTGACTGTGACTATTTACAGACTTGGTCTTTAGGTTTTGATACTACCACTTTGCGCAGGATGTTCTGAATGAGCTGGTGTTCTACAAGCACGACGATGGCGAGACAACGCAGGACTCAGTCACCCTGCACCTCAGTGATGGAGACTTCAGTGATGAGAAAACACTACAGATCGTGGTTGGCTTGGTCAATGATGAGACTCCACGCATGACCATAAACAGAGGACTCAGAGTTCAAGCAGGTAGTAGTCATTGGGGAATTATCTTTCTGTCCAGTTCACATAAGTAAGTAGTATGAAAATACTGCTATCTGAAAATTGAGGTAAAAAAGATACATTTTTAAGACATGGGTGCAAATGGAAAAAGAAAAAAAACATTGAAAAGAGTATGTTTGTTTAGGATATTGACTTAAATCTTTCAACTCAACAAGACCAAACCTTTATTTCTTATATTAGATAACATTACATTATAGCTCACCTTTAACACTGTTTGATTATATGTGACATGAAGCTTTCTGGGAGATGGAGAATGGTAAAATATATTCCTTTTCTTACTTACAGTTTCGTCGACGGTAATAAAAAACAGAGATCTTCGAGCCACGGACTTGGATAGTGAGGATTCAGAAATCATGTATACCATCATGAAGGACCCAACCTCTGGCAGGTTGCAGTTTGATAATGGAGATGTCTCATATATTCTCACTACTTCTACAGCTGCTAGAACGTTCAAGCAAAGAGATATTGATGCAGGTGAGGAAGGAGCTTGTGAAATGCATTTCTTCCATCTGATTTTTCAGTGTGGAAACTTTCTGGTATAAATATAGGTTAGTCCATTCTTTATCAGCCTTATAGATTGTGAATGCATGACTTTTATTGAAAATGGAACCAATATAGCTGGAGAAATGTGTGAGTACACATACTATCTTAATTAGGTTGGGAAAAAAAGAGTGTAATGAAATTATATGTACGTAGTGTCAGAAAAAAATTATGGTTGATACACAGGGCAATACAGGGTTATATCTATTATATATCTGGCAACTTAGAAACACATGCGTCACTTTTACCATAAAACTATGACAGCTACAGAGTTGAAAGTTGGCTAATACCTGCAAAAAGATAGATAGGTCCCCATGACGGAGCCCGATTTTTTATTTATTGATTTCCTGAATTTAGAAAAATATATTTCACAAAAAGTTCCCGTCCTTCTTTTGCCTTTGTGATTATTCCACTGAGAAACTAAACAAATCTTCGTAGAGCTGTCCTTCTCTGCAGAAGTGCCGGAAGTGATATTTCACGAGGCGCATTTTGTTTTGAGAGTATAGATCTAGACCTTCTAATTTTTTGCATCTATCAAGATTTATTGCTCCATATCAGTAGAGTGTAAATATAGTAGGCCAATGACTTTCAGCTGATGTTAATGTACCGGTCATTCCTTTCATCGAATGGGGGCCCAGCTAGTTAATGAATAGCATTTGTGGCCTCCTGGGACCAAACTCCCTAACAAAACAAGACAATGGTTCTTGAATTTGCATCCGATAGTTCCTGTATCTTTTAGTTAAAAGTAAAAGCCACAGTTGTATTAAATATAGCTCTTCAATGTTTATCTCTTTATTTTGTTGTTCTCAGGTCATATCTCATACATTCATACGGTTGAAGATCTCACAGGCAACATCATTTTTAAGTTCAAGCTGACAGATACTGACGGGAATGAGTTGATTGATCAAGACTTCTTCATTACTGTTTTTGGTAAGCACTGTTTATTCATTTTTCTCTCTATGACTTACAAAAACTAGGGCAAATAATGTATTTCTATTTTTGTTTTGTTTTATTTTGCTTTTTATTTCACAGTCAAATATGCAGAAATGTGTATTTATAGTATAGTATTAGTGCATGAATCATTCTCGAAAAGTCCCCTTAAAATATTACAATCAAGCACACTTTCATGTGCTCAATTTTTATGCTTTTCTGAATTTGATACCATTTATAATAGTTTTGAAAATAATCAGACACAATAGGGCCTACATCCTTAGGAAAGTTGAAAAATATGTCAATTAAACTAATGTGTCTTTCACTGGGTATGATTGATTCTTTTTTATATACATATCATATTTCTGTTTATTCCTCCTATCAATGCGATGTACTTTTTCTTCATCCCCACTTTTTTATGCAGAGGATAGACTATACCCTATTGAAGTGAATAATAAAGAATTTTTGGTGGAAGAAGGAGGCACTGCAAAGCTGACTACTGATGTTCTGTCCTTCACTGATGCTGACACTGAGCCGGGAAGTTTGACTTATGCAGTGTTGGAGGGCCCAGACTTGGGACATCTGGAGCTTGTGGGACAGCCTGGTAACTTTTATCTAAAGATATATAATAGAGAATGATGATGTCTACTTTTCTTTGTCTTTTTTCTCTTTTGATTTGAATTTGCTAAAAAATACTATAATTTACTTTTTTCTTTTATTCCACGCTACTTTCAGATTAATTCATTCACAATACAGTGGAAACCATATCAGGCTCGGTAATAACAGGGATTTTTTAAATCCCTGTTTTTTCCTACTCTTTGTCTCTATTAAAAGTTATCGACAATAACATGGCCTCATCGGAGCCCAATCGGTTATAGCAGGGACAAAGGCTCGTTAACAATGTGTAAAAAGTGAGAGAGAGAGAGTAACGCAGTGATGGAGCAAGCCCACGCTAGCCACGCCACTGCAAGCACACGCAGCAGGTCAAGCAAGAGAGGGCTGCAGTGTGCTGCAGACTTTGATCTAGCCCTAAGCCTAGCTACACTACCCATGAACAATAAATACAGCTGGATTGGTTCATAAATTATGCTTACTTCCTTTCAATTTCTGATTTAACAGGGATCTGATATGACAGGCCTTTTTCTCTGGTCCCACCGTCCCGGGTATATCAGGTTTCCACTGTACCTAAAGTCCGTTTAAAATGCTATTACTTTTTTTTTACTTTGCTTCTATTAAACTCATTTCTGAAATGGTTTTGACATCTAATTTTCTAATTTAAAAAAACAAAAGAAGCAATTATTTTGGATGATGAGATTACATTATTTATTCCCCCCCCCAACCTGGCTTAATAATAATAATAATAATGAAGATCATTTCTATAGCCCCCCTCTCCCGCGTAAACACAGCTCTAGGCGCTTTACATAAATGCATGTACAATCAATATTCATGCACGCGACACACACACTCATACACACTCACTCACACACACGCACTAACACGCACACATACACACACACACTCATGCACACATTACACACGCCCATGTGCTTATATCAATGTCACTCTTTGTTCCTACAGGAGTTCCAATAGTAACCTTCACTCAGTCAGACTTGGCAGCAAACACTGTAACGTACGTCCACACTAGTGACTTGGAACTGTATGCGGACAGATTCAACTTTGCTGTTTCCGATGGTTCTAATGAGGTATGAATGTATTCAGTGTAGCAATGCTCTGTGAATTTTCTAGATAGGGCAAAACGTTTGTATGTGTTCTAGAATATGCAGTGCAAATTTGTCTTGATTACTATACCTCTTGTGTACAGTATAAGTATTTCCATTGAAGAAATGGTTGCTGTGGCATTGTGCTAATCTTTCTGTTATTATGCACTGGCACAATCAGTGGAAAGACCCTCAGCGACATTTTGGAGAGAGCAACGGAGCATCAATGGACATGTCCAGAGTGCAGTGATGTTGCTTCCTGAAACAATGAATTCTGTCGTTAGTAGGCACAGATAGATTACCAACTTCTGTGGTGTAGCAGTCAAGTGCTTCACTCTTGCACTCAGAACACCGGAGTTCAATTTCTCAGGGGGAAGAATTTTTATCAAGTATCTCAGTCTTTCTATTGAAATGTTGTATCCCCCTTAGCCTGGTTTAGCCCTGATGGGCAGGGTCAATGTCCATCTCCTATATGATCTAAAATGTGTTGATGAGGGTGTAAAAACGCCTACATTTATTTCCATTTTTTCACAGATAAATTATTTTTGAGAAATGCTTTGTTGTCTTGCTTTTAATGAAACAAACTAAAGACATTGGGAATAGTTGTGCAACACACCCCTAAGAGTTAAAACTATCTGTCAGTAGTAATATTCTTGGATCTCTTTACTTTTTGAATTGTTCATAAGCCCATAAAATGTTGGTACTGATTCACATCTGTTACTCTGTTTCTATCAGTAGGATCTGTTCACTCTTTGTTTCTCCATATATGAAAATGTCTCTATCATGAAAAGTTTTTAAATCAACACCAAGATGTCATTGTGTAGATTGGTATTAGACTTTACTTTCACCTATTTCATCAATTTTTAAAGTGGGTTAACTTACATTTGTTTTCTCCATGACTGTGTGGAAAAGGTGGTTCAGACGTTCTTCATCAATGTGAGACCTGTGGATGATGCCATCCCAGTGCTGAGCAACCAAGGGCTGAGAGTTCAGGAAGGTGTACGGAAACTAGTCACTGAGTTTGAGCTCAAAGCTGTCGACCAAGACACAAAGGTAGAGCTATGTGACAGTTTATGAAGTTTTTATAGCTTTGTTTCTTTTAATGGAAGAGCCGCATAACTTGACTCCTCATGGCCAAAAGGAACATTTCATTTTATCGTTTGCCTCTTAGGGGACTTTCAGAGTTTCAGCTTGTTTGTCAAGTAGTCTTATGGTTTTGTTGAAACAATAAAGTGTTTAATGATTACTAAAGAATGTACCCTGGAGAATAGTCACAGATATTAATGTACAGAAAAGTGAGAAGACATGGAATAACATCAAGAGGCTAGACGTGAATAGGGAAAGGTGGAAAGTGTTTGTAGCCTGTACCCTGATCCAGGGTGAAAAAGGCAATGATGATAAGGGAATGTATTGTTCAGCCCATCTTTGATCTCTGTCTGCAGGAGGATCAGATTCAGTTCACTGTTGTGGAGCCCCCAATTCATGGCACGATTGAACTCTTGACCAATGAGACCTACAGTCCAGCTGTGACATTCAGCATGGCTGATATTTATGAGAACCGTGTGAGCTACCAACATGATGGGAGTGAGACTGTCTCTGATAGTTTTTCTTTCATTGTGAGTGATGGGACCAACAAGGTCTTTGCCATGCAGCAGGATCAGCCAGCATATAGACCAGTGTCAACACCACAGGTGAGACTGATCTTGTTTGGTACTCGGCAGTTATTTGTGTTTAAAAATATTGAACGTACATACTAGAACAGTGCTATTAGTAAGACTACAACAGTGCTAGTAGTAAGAGTCCTTTGCTGTGCTGGGGTCTTTAAAAAAAATTGATTGCATGTTTTAGATCATTGTAATATGGTGCTCCCTTTCTCCCAGGAGGTTACATTTTCATTCAGCTTCATTAAGTGGACTATCCACCATATATGCAGATTTTCTCCTCTGAAATTTGTTATCCTAGCACAATTTTTTGGAGGGTTGACAATAATATTGAAAAATAATGTATGGTTGGTCGAGCCAAAAAAATGGACCAACTGAAACTGACATTTATGTTGGATAAATGCATAATAAAAAATATAGGAGCCTTCTTTCTTTATAAAAGTCTGTTTAGGCAGAGAGATACAGTGCTGTCTGTGGTGACTAGACCCACATGAAAACTTTTGTGCGTCATTGACTTCATAGTTTTGAGAAAAAATTTTAACACTTTGCAGTCACCTGGCACAATGTTGTGACGGTGAAAATTATCCGTTCCGGTCACCTAATGAGAGAAGTCCGTTGCAGACACTCTACTGGCTGCTTAACAAGATAGTGTATTTTGTACTGCTGGCTGTGTGACTTCAAAGTGTTAAAGTCCTCCCACTCCATGCAGCACCTTTCACTTAGTTGTACTGAATGTTAGCTTTATTTGCTTCAACTTCCTTTTCTTTTGTTGTGCCCAAACTTTCTTGTAAAATGCCTTTTGACTGAATACATTTTGGGACAGAAAGTCAGAAAATTAATTCTGCTAGGCAGAAAAGCTCATAAAAAGGGCGGGTTTGATTTAAAAAAAAATTTTTTTGGCCATATTCTGTATTGGGGGTGGGGATTGGAGAGAGGAGGAGCTGCATCTTAGATGTTACAGCAAACAGTTGTCAAATGTTGTCCAGGCTGTTCTCTTTTCCCCACCTCATTGGTATAAGCCAATGTGAAATAGCTGTTGAGTTCAATGTGTTAATGTCAGTTCCAGGCTCCTGTGGAAGACACTTTTTGGGGGGTTCCTAGGAATTTTTACAAACTGATACTGAATGGTATCCTGTTTATATGCATATTTTGAATAGAGCTTTCCTTATTATGTTGTTTATGTGTAAGTGGTGACAGCTCTAAACTGTTCCTACTTTTTCAGTGCTACTATATATATATTGTACTTGTGGCAGGTGTTGTGCTTAGGTGTTATGAATAGCTTGACCTGAGTCAACTCAACTCATTGTAACTCATGCAGTCCTTAATTATCTTTTGCTTGACTACCATGTCTTTTGTTGTTCACAGGAGTTTGCTATCACTATCCTCCCGATGGATGATGGAATGCCAATTATTCAGTCTAATTTGGGACTTCAATATTTAGAATTCAAAGGTTCTGATGTAAGTTCGTTTTTTTGCTAGCATTCTGTTGGTATACCCTGTAAATTGTATTTTCTGACAGCCTAGCTTCATTTAGGCTCTTGACCAACTTCTTCCTTTTTCTTTTGATATCTGTTTATCTTTTATTTCTACTTTGTAGCACAAAAGAAACAACACATGTCAGTAACTCCTCAACAAAAGTAAAGATTTCTTTGGAGAGAATGTTGAAGTGAAGGAAAATGAACATCTTCCTAAAGAAAAGACAAACTTGCATTTATATTTTAATGTTAATTAATTTTTTTTCATTGGTGGGAAGTGACTCATGATCTTTTCACCAATGAATGTCTCAGCATTCATTTCCATACTTGTGAAAGGTCAACTCTGTGGTCATGCTTTTGAAGAAAAATATTGCACAGTGACACTCTCTTTATATAAATGAACTCTCAGTTTTGCTTTGAGACATTTCAAAACATGTAGTTCACCTTAATCTTTTGTATCATTTTCTTAAGATTGGGAATATCATACGTTCACAAGATCTGTCATCTGCTGATGAGGATACCTCTGCCTCCGAGATTGTCTATGCAATAAAAGAAGCTCCAAAGTTTGGTGTAATTGAACACATTGAAAAACCAGGTCTGCCTATTGCATCATTCACCCAGGGTAAGTGAAACCATTTTGTTCTATTCTCTTGAGCTTCTCTTTGCTTATTTCATAACTGGTTAAGTAAGAAGTACTCTAATGGATTCAAAATAGGTACCAGTAGTTTAGAAGGTGGAGGGCTTTTCTAATAACAACCTATTAGCCTGAGAGGAGGTTGTCCTTAAAAAATGAAAAATACCAGAACACCATTTGGATACAAGCCTCAGACTTTTGATTTTTGGTCTAATTCTTGAGCATCTCCACAAAAGGACTACATTTAATTCTTTTAAAAAAATGGTATTTTAGAGATATTATTTATTCCATTAAGTTTTCCTGAGATATAAGAGAATACTATCGCTGTCTTGTAAGACATCATCACTTGTGGATTCTAAATTTAAGGTTGTTTATCAAATATAGGGAGGGCTATGAAGGCAAGATACTGTTATAAAAAGAATGCATAGATTTCTCTAAGTGGTTGATTGACAAAATGGAAATCTTGCTGTATTGACCTGACCTCGGAAATATTTCTACTTTGCTGTCACCATTTTCCCTTTTCTCTGGGGAGATGTAAACTATTGCTGACCATAATCAGCTGCTTTAGACTTTCTCTCAGGATGAAAGAGACTTATATGTATCCTCTTACAATGTGCCAAAGCCCATTAATCTATTTCTCTTTGTGTTCAGAGGACATCAACCAAGGTGTTATCCGCTACAAGTTGGTCAAGGAGAGCAAGGACTTACAGGACAGCTTCGGCTTTGATGTGATGGATGGAAAGCCCAACATTGTCCCTGACAACCGTTTCCACATCACTTGGTCAGAGATTAGCTTTGGCAATCCTACCTTCAATGTTTCAGAAACCCAAGGCATTGTCCAGATCCCTGTACTCAGAAGAGGGAATCTCAAGCAGGTAAGGAAACATTTGGTCAGATGTTAACTAAAATGGATTGGAGTTGCAGTTTTTTTCCTCTGGACTTCCAGATTTTTTAAACTGCAAAGCAAAAAAATCCTAAAAGCATACAGAACGTGTTGTGTTATGTAAATTTATATAAGCAGTGTTTCACTGGAGATATGCTTAGGATTTTTTGATAAGTAGTATTGATGATTTAAATAGCACAAATTGAAAAGCCAAACTTGAAATAAAATGAAGAAATATATTTACTATCTAGGTGCATATGGGTAAAGTTTTCAGAAAAAGTGTTCATAAACATACTCCAATATCAATTCTTATTATTTATTACTGTTACTGAATTGAAAGCATTTGGATGACTAATGTTGGTTTTGCATTCTGTAATTGTTTCCTTCTTGTGCTCTTTTTTGTTGTTACTTATATCATTGTATGATTTATGATGAATTTAGCCACACTTCCTCTTACCATTATCTGTTCCAGATTACATGGAGCTATTGTTTCTCAAACTGTTAAGTTCGACTTGATATGATGGATTTAGCAAGACTTCCTCTGTTGTTTGACAATATTGGCAATTCACATTCCTCTCAGTATGCCATACATTATTTTGATTTTACAAAAATATTATTCATTTTTTCAAAAGTAGACTAACATGTGGTGTGTATTCAATGTCTCCTTGCTGTCCAGTACTCAATTGTGAAGTGTAGAACGATACCAGGATCAGCTGTCTCCAAGCCTGATGCTGTGCGACCTGGTCTTCAAGATTTTGTTCCAGCGTCCGGACAGGTTAGACTTTTGTCTCCATTTTAAACACTCAGTTTGCTCATGTAATTTTTTTAACTTCTTTTTTGTTTTTTTGTTTTTATTGGTAAGTGTTTTACAGCACTTGCAACTGCATATATGAGCGTGCGGGACACACTAAACATTTTCAGTTGGTAGGAAGTTTTAAATTTTGCCTGAGTGGCGGCCGAAGCCTACTCTTATCCATTTTGAACCACCAAAAAAAAAAAGTTAGGTATCTTTAACGTGCCCAACTTGCACACGGGACCTCCAAGATTTTTTGCCCTTGTCCGAGAAAGCTAGATGTAGATCTTTCCTACCTGAAGATCAGGGGTGTCCCTTTTGGACTTCAAAGTAGTGAGTGCTGAGCACTAAATGAAAAGGGAAGTGTGGTTTTTTTAAAAATTTAGTTAGGGGTCCTCAATGCTTCTCTTTGTTGCAGCATTTAAAATTATTTTTAAAAAAATAGATTTTTAATTCACATTATCTTGACATTGATGCTTATTTGCTCACGATTTTACTTTTTATTCAACTGAATATGAAAGTGAAGGGAGAGGTGATGATGATGATGAAAGGTGATTAAATAAAAATGTGGCAATAATTTTAAGTAGAGGATGGAAGAAGAGAAACAAATGGCAAGTTCGGGTGTGGGAGAGGTGGGGTAAGCTGTACAATTCCTATTCACGATGGGAGAAGCCATGGTGTAAGGCGAGGGGGGGGGGGGGGGGGCATGGACTGGTTACAAAAAGATCGAAAGGGTGTTGCAAGTTATAACTTGTTCAAAAAATCTCCTCTTTCATCTTCATGCTATAGGTTCAGTTTGATGAGTGGCAAGAAAGCAAACCGTGCTCCATCTTCATCAATGACGACACGCTGTATGAGGGTCCAGAAACCTTTTACGTAGAGCTGTTTTCACCAACCTTTACTGTGCTGGGAAAAGTGAAGAAAGTGGCTGTTTCTATTTATGATTCTGAAGATGGTTAGTGAAGTGATATTAGCTGTCCTTTTAAAGTATTTTTACAACAAATGAAAATGTATTTCAAATTTGTTAACTTTTAACTTTTGGAATTATTTTTTTCTAACTTCTTGAATTGGTAATCATTTGTTAAAGTTTATTAATTTTTGAGTATCAACTTCGAATCACAGGCTGGGCAGTCTTGAACTCAGATTGTTTTGTCGAGATCTCAAGGCTCTCAACCCATTTGGCTCAGTCCCATGAGAGACTGACATTAGATTCGAAAGTCCTAAATCTTAAATAACCTAAAGGGTTGATAAGGGTGTTGAACCATACACTTCACTTTTACATTTTTTTTAGTATCAAATTGTTTTATTGGTCTGCCTGTTATTGCAACAAGCAAGTAATTATAAGACATTTTATGTTTGATTTTCGTAAGATGCATTGTATTGCCAAAGATTTTGATCTTATACCATTTTTACTTTAAATTTCAGAACCACTTTTACAGTTTCAGTCAGGAGTTTTACAAGTAAATGAAACAGACAAGTATGCAATGGCTACAATTGTGAGATCAGGTAATGTGCTATGATAGTACTTTATTGTCTTGTGCAGTAGTTTGGACTATCAAAATATTATAGGTGGCAATTGAACATGTGTAAAACAACTTAAGGTATAGTGAATACAGCTCTAAGATAATAGTCAATAGATGTTACTCTGGCTTTTTATAGCCGTAAGATCAAAGCACACAAATCACTAAAAGCTTTAGTATCATTAATTTTTTTACATCCTCTGTTCTTCCTTATTGTTTGACTCAATCTTTCCAATAAATATAGATGGGCTGGTGCACACAGTAATTGTCTGAATCTTCTTTAATGTGCTTTTTAATCAACCCAAAAACATTCTCTTCTCTCCAGACAGTACTTCTGATCTGTGCTCTAATGAGTATGACTAACCTGTTCCTTAACTGATTTATTCATTCTTTCACTGATTCATTCATTCATTCATTTATCTATTTATTTATTACAAAAACTTTAGGAGACTTGAGTGAGACAGTGTCTGTCATCTGCTTCACACGTTCTTTGACTGCCACTGGGAGCAGCTTGACCGGTCTAGAGTCTGGCTCCGACTACGTGTCTAGAGGTCAGACAAATGCCTACCGGGTTGTTTTCCCACCCGGAGTTACCCAAGCTACTTGTGATGTTAAGGTTGGTATGATTTTTCTGAGTGTTATGAGCAATCACAACAAGCACAATGTATTTCACTTGATTATATTGTGTGTGTGTATATATATATATATATATATATATATATATATATATATATATATATATATATATATATAAATCAACATTTTCAAAAATACAAAAAAACTGTTGTAAGAAAACCATGGCTGCTCTTTTTCTATTTATGAAAGTAACAAAAACAAACTTTTCTCAAACCGTGATTCAAGTTCGTTTCCTGTCTTGCACAAACAGGTAAATGCACTTGGGAACATTGCGTGGTGGTAGCTATTTATTTCTTTTTACTTGGTTGTTTTCCATATTATGGAGAGAAGAAAGATCACAAAATCAACATTGTTACTTAAATCTGTATCCCAAATACAAATAAATACTGACTAGTGCAGTGCTGTTTCTACTTTGTGAGAAGGGAACAAAGAATGAAACTGTTTTGGCTTCATGACTTTTCAACTCCTCTCATTTCAGTTGATTGATGACAGTCAGTTTGAGAGTATGGAGCAGTTTGAGCTAGAGCTCTCTGACCCGTCAATGCCTGCAGCTGTCGGCCCCATGGAGAAGACCCTCGTGATCATTGCTGGTCCAAATGATGGTAGGGGCAATTCTGCCGTCGTAAGGGAAAACGACGAATGATCAAATTTTTTAATTTTTTAATTTTTATATATTTCATAGAGTATTTAATTCTGCATCTGGTGGTGTAAAAAATGTTGTTATATCCTAGTCCGTTGTTGCGTAATTGAGAGTTTTTCGTTTTCCCGTACACTGGCGAGCTCTGAGCCAGAGCTCAGTGTAAGAGAGAACAACGAATGGTTGATTGGTCAAGGATCACTGCTCGTTCAGCGTTTTCCCCTGGTCTCTGCCGTTGGGCAAATTCGGCATGTGCGACAAATGACAATTGGTCACTGTTGCATCAGTACAAACATACTTGTTTTTTTTTGCAAACAAATACACCACCACCCCCTCCCCCAGAGTAGAATCGACCAGGGTTATAAGAATGTATCACTTCATGTGTCTTTCTGTCTGTCTTCACATATTAGGCCTATGCTGATGGTGTGAATTGACAAGAGCAGGCGGGAGAGAGGGGAAAACGGATAGGAACAGATGGAAAGGGGTGGGGATGGGATGGTCAAAAAAGTATTTAGGGAGAAATTTATTAGGACTGCATATTAGTGTCCGCCAGATGTTCACAGACTAACGTCATGTTAGTTTGCTGTCCAGTCATTCGACATCCCAAATCCCAACGATGGTTATAGTGCCGCAATTTGTCTAGCACGTGTCACTGGTCGACATCATTATAGAATTACCAAGCAATTAATAACACTGCGTTATGAGAGTAAATTTCTTTGTCCAACTTAAAAAGTGGACGTATTGGGGCGACACTTAGTCTTGCTTTACGATTTTTTATGACTTGATGGACATTACGATCGAGTATTATAATGTCTTGCAGATTCAAACTGTCCTTGTTGATCTCTACTTTGTGGTATGTTTTTCGATCCAATCAACTGAACCCTTTATTAAATACAAAGCGTCGCATTACCTCTCCCGAAAGCGTTTGTAAGACAGTCTTGTCAGATTGTTACATTTCTTAAGTGTAAGTTTGACTTTGCAATGATCTGATTGTATTATTGACATTGTAACGTTGTTGATCCCTTTGGTCGTGCAGGGAAAATTTTGCAATTAGCGAAAATAAAAGTTCAACTCGCTTCTGAAGAGAATACAATAAAGAGATATCTGGGAGACCAAACTTTGGTTCCGGATGAGACAGTTTTAAATCAAGCTGTTGAAAATATGTGCACATCTGATTTGTACACTGACTGTGTAGTATTTAACCAAGCGAGGAAGGGAAACAAAGGACGTTTACCGAGTTACAGTTGGGATACAACAAACACCTAACTTTATACGTATAATAGCTAGTTTGTATACGTCTTTTATTTATTTGTAGTAACCAATACACAGTCATTACTGTCAATAATGTGTCACAACTGACCATCGCCTACACCCATAAACGTTCACGAGTGTAAAGGAGAACGATGAACCGTACCATTCGTTGTTTTTGCTTACATCGCAAGGCTCACCTGCGGGTGCGCAGTGTAAGGGAGAACGACGAATGTTGAACAACTTTGCTACTTTTTAAGCTAAACCAATTTAACTTTAGAAACTGCTTTATGAACACCTCAATCAGATATCTGGTGAATTACAGCTTAAAAGAGTGAAAAATAGAAGAGTTATAAAGTGAAAACAGTTTTTGCCTCTCCTGAAAAATTTGCCTCGCTACCTGCGCCGGACCATTCGTCGTTTTCCCTTACGACGGCAGAATTAGTCCTTTGAATTCTTTTGCAAGCTAACACTGAATTTTATCATTTGTTTATTTTCTATTGACTCTTAGGACTCTAGTTTCTTCATAAAGATGAACATTATTTTGCTGTGAGGGAAACACTGTTAAAGTTGAAATGCTTGCTTTTGAGGGGCTCTTTGACTGTGACTTTCATTAAGTCGTAATCAATATGGATTTTTACGAAATAGAAGAAAATTTCTCAGCAAAGATTATAATTTTTTAAGCTCAGTTGCCAGGTGAAAATCAGTGTCTGGTTTATTTAGCTACTATTTGCCTTGCCACCACCCAATTGTCTTTTAATGAAGAGCAGTAGCATATCATGAAATCAGGCTATAATATTTCGTTTTAGAGAGAGCTGAGAGACTGATGAGAATAGTTTACTGTGTTCAGCACAAAGTTAAATATTTGTTAACTTGTCATTTTCTTGTGTGTTTCAGTTTCATTGATCTATTTGTCGGAGGATATGTTTACATTTCCGGAGGACAGTGGGACCATTGGGATTGAAGTTCTCCGGGAAGGCTCAGACTTATCACATACGTCTGTGGTGTGGTGCGCCACTCGGTTGTCAGACTTGCCTTCTGCAACACCAGGGGAAGATTATGTTCCCAGCTCCGCACAAATTACTTTTGGTCCAGAACAAAACTCCCAGGTACCTTTTGGTGTATGATACTCTGTTCAGAAATCATACCTCTTTATTCATCACTTCTCTGAATATCTGTATGCGCAAATAGACTTTTAACGAGGAGTCTTTTTTTGTCTCTTCATTTAATGTATAGAAAAGTTTTTAGTTGGTAGAGCTTATTTAAAAAGACTTATGTTTAGTCAAGAATTTTCACCATCCAGAATTTTTTTTGGGGAAAAACTGTATTTTCTTGTTTTGTGTCACCTATTCTACTCTTTTGGTATCTGCCAAGCTGCACCAGAATCACCTGCTTTGCTTACGAATACCCTTCTTCCTGTTAAATCAAGCCACTTTGATGATGAATAATTGTCACTGTACTGTCTATTGAGTCTTCAGCAAGACTATCGACATGTCATTTGCCAGTAGAATTAAGGATAGGTTGTTTGATTATGTCTGTCTGGGCAGGACTAACTGATGATATGGGAGGATCTCTGTGTGAGGGCTAAAAATTTAACTTTTACTTGTTAAATTGTTAACATTATCACTGTCTATTTTCCTATTTCCTTTCTTGGATCCCTTATCATGATTTCGTCAATGTGATTGCTTCAAGGTCTTGATCACTGTCTGCTTTTTTTTAACCATTTCAGATGTGTCATTTAATTCTTCTGGATGATGATTTTGACCCTAAACTTGAAGGCAATGAAACTTTTGTGGTGTTCCTTAGCTCAGCTGTGGGCAGTGTTTTAGACCAACCTTTCTCTGCAACGGTCACAATCTACGATGATGGACTGGACAGTAAGTCTAGACCTTCTGGTTTTACGGCTGACTGAAAAGAACTATAACCAAAGGGATTGTGGCCCCTTGCAAAACCTTTCTATAGACAGTAAAAATTGTCTAAAATGGCCACCCATTGTTGAAGAGAAATGTGGCTGTCTTAGACATGTGGACATCTTACACAATGTCATTATTACAATGTAAAAAAATACACAGGGGAGGAAATGGGAAGTGGCCACTAGTACAGGGGATTGTCTTATCCAGATGGCTGTTAGAGTTGCTACTGTATTTCTCAATAAATATATATATTTCTAAGAAATCATGAAAAAGTTACATGAATCATATAGTATCGCCACAAATCAAACCATGCTGGAAGAATCTGCCTCCATTCTTCTTGATGTCTGTATTGGTATGATTTTTTAATGCTAATTTCTTTATGTGAAGCTCATACCTATCCTTAGATGAAGAATTCCATGATCTGGTGCAAGTTAGTTAATTTCGGTACATTATCTCAAATCATTATTCGAATTAGAATAATTTTACACTGAACACTGAATTACTTTTTGGTTTTATGCTCACACACATGAATACCAGTTATCATGGAGTTTTGTTGAGGTCTATATTTTTATCCTATGCTTTAAATGATGATATTTTTTTCTGCTCTCTTTTCTCAAACAACAGTTCCACAAATGACTTTCTCCCAAGACAGTTACATCATTGATGAAAAAAACAAGACTTTGAACGCTACTATAAATCGACTCGGAGACGTCAACATGGAGTCCTCCATAATTTGTTTCACTCGCCAACAGACAGCCCAAGTTATGATGGATTTTGACGAAAGAATCTTCACTAATGCTTCTCTTGTAACATTCAGGCCTGGAGAAAGGGTAAGTGCACCCATACTATCTAACTTTGTTTATTATATTAATCAACTTCAGGCATGTTCTAATCTTTTTTGTATGTTAGCTCTTTTTTAAATTGAGAAAAGGGCAAAGTATGCAGTAAGGTATAGATAGCCATTAGATAAAGACAACCAAATTATTATATTTTGTCCCTGAAGAAAACTGACATAAAAAAAGAAAAAATGGACACAAGATGGGAAGTAAGAGGCATAAAAAGAAGTGCAGACAATTGTACTAAAATTTCTAAAAGTACAAGATTATCATTTCTGATTATTTTGGATAGCTTACTAACATTGTTTGATGAAATTATTGGTAGGTTATAATTGGACTCTCTGTAACACAGGGGCAATGCGTTCTCCTGCCATAGCTTACACATTTTGAAGACTCTTATCAGGCTCATGATTTGCAACAGTTTGCTTTGATAACTAATGATAGATGCCAAATGGCTATGTTTGAATGAATTAATTCTTTGTTTAGATGTCTAAACATGGTATATTATACTGTTCAATGTGTACTCGTATTGTTTAAACACTAAAGCAAATAAATGAAATGAAACAACTCTCATATTTCCCATTAATACTGAAGTGAAGGGACAGAGTTGATTTTGTTTTGTGTCTTTAATAAATTAACTTTTTCCTCAGTTGGTATCTTCTAGACTAATGCCGTTAAAAAAAATAGATCTTACCATATTTGAAAGTATGTGCGTTTGTATGAAATACCTTTTTGTTCTCTTTGTCTTCAAAATAATACAGAGCAAGTCATGCATTGTGAATATTGTGGATGATGAGGACTTCGAGCCTGATGAAGTTTTTCTGCTGAAACTGGGTCTGCCTGAAGGGTCCCAGAAGGATCAGGTCATGCTGGGAGCTATAGATACAGCTACTGTGACCATCACCAATCATGATGACGGTAACTGTTTCTGTTGTTTGTGAATATTTGAATACTGTTATTGTAATTCTAACCATTAGGCAATATAAAATAATTGAAATAGCCTAAATTATATTGCCTCTAAAGGAGTTTGAGTTTAAAGGGTTAGCTAAAAGTACAAGATTATCCTTAAACACTGAATAAAACACCTTCCTACATACCTACCTACATACCTACCTACCTACCTACCTACGGGTCAATAGTGAGAGATAAATTTGTGAAGGAGATGAAACTATGTAGACTGTATTATAAGCTCAGTTTCAACTTACTCACTTACACTGCAATTCTTTTTCTTTTCATTGATTTATTACACACCATCATTATCACTCGTCTTCATCACCATTATTGCCATTGTCTTTGTGCTGGATATTGAGAGAATTCTCTTTGTATGGACTACTCTTCTTGTACTTCTTTCTCAGGATTATCATAATCTTCCAATATTATGTGGCCTTTTTTTTAAGGAGGGGGGGGGGGGAGAATGATCTTTTTGAAATAGCCTGTAGCTGAAGTACTCTTCATCCTTGTTATCATCAGCAACAGAAGCAACCATTAAAGGTCAGAATGGGAGCAAAATTAGGATCTTATTGTGAAAGATGAACCATTGTTTCTTTTGTGTCGTGAATTCTCCAATTCCCTGATGTTATATTCCAGACTCATGTAATACTTTAAAATTTATGTGCTATTGTTATTGTGTTTTATTCAAATGTTCGTCTGGTATGACTTACATTTTGTCTAATTTTTTTTCACCAGTGCCTCGCGTTCAGTTTGAGCATGCAGCATATAGTGTGCATGAGCCAAGCGTATCTGATCAGATCACCACTATAGAGGTGAAAATAATCCGCACTGGAGCTGCCAACGACTCAGCATCTGTCCGCTGTAGCACTAGAGATGGTTCTGCTCAGTCTGGAAGTGACTACAACGCAAAAAGTCTAGTGCTGTATTTCAAGCCAGGTAACAAAATCTATAGATTTGATGAAGTCATTTGTAAAGTTTGATTTTTTAATTGTCTTTACTCACTCAAACATAGGCCTACACTTTTGGGTTGTCAGCTCTCCCTTGAGATTTTTACCACTTTTTTAAAATTAAAAAAACCCAACTGAATTTTAAGGTATCCTACCCAAATTAACATTTTATTCAAACCTTCATTTGTGTATATTAAAAATTTGAAGGCAAAATGTGTCATAGTTTTTATGCAATTCTCAGCGGAAAAAGTTCTATATACAGAGTAAAAAAATAAACAAAAAGCGAAGGAAGGAAGTGCATTCACATTTCACATCCCCTCACATGGTTCACGAATATACCTTTCTTTGTTCTAAATTTTGGCTTGCACTTCTGGTCATAGTCTGTTTCGAATGAAAAATGATTACTCTTCCCATTAGGCTGTAGTCTGCTTCACAAAAGTAGTGTTTTCGGTCACGAGAGCAAAATTTTCCATAGCGATACTGAGGACGTTAGGGTTAGAGCGTTGCGTGCGCATACCGATACTATCGGGGCTGGATGAATTAAGTGACCTCCCGTTTGTCTCTCAGAACGTACCTTGCCCTGGTCATCTTCCTATGCTTTATTTCTCTGTCTCCCAATCTCTGTCCCCCCCCCCCCCTCAACCCGTACAAATTTCCTGACCGAAAGAAATGTTTCTATATATTGTCTTGTAATCAACTTTCAATTTATTTTCAGGCTTAGCAGATATTCCTGCTCAATCATAGAAAATGAATGTGCTTTGAGTTTGAACAACATTAATACAGTTTTCAAAATCAATGACTTTTGCTGTGGCTCTTGATAATGAAATGTCTGAACTGAGAAGTTTGGGTTGTTGGGTTTTTTTTTAAGTAATAAAAATTTGCAGAAGAATCACTGAGATAGGATTGAATTGCACAACAAGTTTTTAATGATTCTGTGCCTTTCTTTTACCAGGAGAAAAAGAAAAGAAGTTTCTGGTGGATGTGTTGTACAACAGTGCCATAGAGTGGCATGAATCCTTCAGCCTACAGCTAGGACCGGAGGAGCCCAACAACTCTGTGTTTGGATCAATCACCGTGGCAACCATCACTATTTTGGATAATGAAGTATCTGGCAGTTTAGTCCTCCCTTCTCCTCCAGTGGTAGGCAATCGCATCTGTTTTGAAACATTTTTGTTATTGTCTTGTACAGTGTTGTGACGGAGTTTGCTTCTGAAGAGGATTTTTGACAAAATTTGTAAATGTTACATCTCTTTTTTTAATTTTAATTTTTTTTGCTAGAATGATATAAAGTTCAATAAAGAAACGGTGCATTTGAAACTTCAGACTGATATTGTGATATTTTGAAATGTAATGATTTTTACCACAAATATTATTCTTTTAAAAGCCCTTGTTGATCTCATTTTCACCTTGCAGGTTGTTTCACTCCTTCACCTTGATGATGTTGAAAAGGGAGTGAAAGTGAACCCTTCCCCTGGATATCCACTTGTCTGTTTGACTGTGAGTGAAAACTTGTCTATTGTTATTTAGTGCATTAGTCAAAATGTTCAGTCAGACCTGTTTTAAACGAACACTTGCCCAAGACAATAAGTTGTATAAAAGACTACACCCCACTTCCCTCCTTGTGTTTTTTTCTTCTTTATTTTAATGACACTGTTGAGGAGGACCACTTGTATAAACTGACTAATTTTCTCCACAAACCAGGTGTGGTCTCGGGCAGGTTCGACTGTATATTTTAACCCTATCCACACGCTCTGGGGTCATTTTGTACCCCCAGAGTTGTATTCTTCACATTTTAGAATACTTCTAGTACGAAGATCTCTTTGGAACTTTCAGTATTTCTCAAAAAATCATTTTGACAAAATGCTGAGCAAAGCATACGGATCGGATTAACGAGTAAATTTCCTCTTTCGAAAGTGGTGGCACAGAGTTCCCCACATATGAATACAATAGTAAAACACGACGGATGAATAGGGTTAATGTGTTATTGAAGGTAGTGTCTTGTAGGAATGTATATATCTAACATATATGAATTGAACGCCGGATGAAATTCCCTTAAGTGTCCATTCAAGGGATATTTGCTTTTGCTTTACAAAATATATGACCTCCTAGAGATTAAACTTTTGCATATTTTTTGTTTCATAAGAAAAGCTGTTGAAAATTTTACAAAAATCTGGAACCTTTTCAGCCTTGTGACGTACACTATCCAACGTATGCAACCACAAGTAGCTTGTGCCAACAGTCTGGAATAAACGAAACAGCCATGCTGTACCAGTGGGAGGTGGCCATGCCACCAACAGATGATGGTGTCTCTCCACTCTTTGTGAAAGTCACTGACAAAACTCTTTTCACTTCAGTGGACAAATGGGTATTGGACAGCATCTACTTCCGGCCATTTTTTCAAGTGAGTGATATTTTTTTTTGCCATGTAATGATGTGTTTTAAAAACAATGTCTGTTTTCTTTTGACTCTCAATTACTTTTAAAACCTTACTGTAGCTCTTCTTTATGGAAGTTCTTTTCGAATTTGATAATTCTATTTTATTTTCATGGCTGAGAGGCCCAAAATACGAGTAAATTAAATGAAAATGATTACAAAGGTAGAAAATCAAAAATCTTAATTGGCTTAACTCTTTAATTCCGGACAGCCACTTAAGTTGCATTTTTGGTTCCACATTTTGGTGGATCACCATTTAAGTGGTATTTTGGTGGTATTGTTTTTGTCAATACCAAGATGAACCCCTGGTCTTATCATGTTACATTTACTACCTATTTTCACCCATATTCTGATTCTCTGTCCAATTACAAATTGTTTGAGTGCTCACACAATCAAATCCATCAATATTCGACTGGATTATAGCCATTTTAAGGTAATATCCTTCATCGCCTCGAATTGGATGCTTAAAATTGTGGAATCCCTTACTTACCGAAAGAGTTAATATTTGTTTACAATTATTTTTAAAAAATTAGTGATGCCTCTATTGGCATACAATTCCACCTTTTTGGACAATCATTAGGAAATGTTGTAATTATTGATATTCATTATTTTTTATCCAATGTATATTCACTTTTCTTACTGCCATGATCATACTCACAAAATTCCTCCAACATTCACTCAAGCAGGTTTTGTTCACTCTTGTTTAGCATACTCCCATAAGTAATTTTTAAGTTGTGCATAATTTTTTTCTAGTTTTTATCTATCATTTTTCCATTTCCATACACTTCCACCCAATAAGTGGGCAAAGGCTTAACTTTTTAGCACTGAAGATCTGGAAACAGATTTTTAAAGTGCATTGTCACAGAAAATGAATGTCTTGAAAATATATTTGATTTAAATAATTCCCCATGCACATTATTAACTTTCTATTTTTAATGTCCTTGTGTAATGTTATTAGTTCATAAATTGCTATATATCTACATAACTTTTGCATCATTTACACACTTATTTTGAGATTCAATGACAAATATTTTGTTACTTATTTTACAGATTAGATGCATTGCTCAACCTTTGCATGGAAATGGCAATCCAGGCATTCCCCTCAAATCTCAGCCTATCACAATAGGGCACACCAACCCAGTCTGCAGATCCCCATCATTTGCAGCATCAGAATCATTCTCTTATCAAGCCCAATCATTTCTTGCTACCTTGGACTACATCAAACCAGACTCAGCTGAACATCCAAACACAGTGCACATTTCAGTTCAGGTTTGTATGGGGACTTTTGGCATGTTCTTCTTCTTTTTTTTTCTTATCAGAAACCTAGTTTCTTTTACTCATCCATAAGTGTTTAACTTGGTCTGCCATTGTCATTGAATACATCTACATTAAGCATTTTGTTGGTATAAAAAGATATACATTTTTTAAATTGGCAGCCATGTTCTTATATGGTCATGAGTTATTTTAAAATGATTTGTTCACTGCGATTTGTTCGAGTCTAATTATTTTTCAGTATTGCTTCACTTTACAAAAAGTGTCAGATTAGTAGAGCTCTATATACCAACAGCAGAAGCTCAGTAAGAACGAAGGAAGGCAATACAGACTGGTTCAAAGTAAGATCTGGAGTACAACAGGGATGCGTTCTATCTCCCCTCCTGTTTATAATATATATGGACACAATAATGCGAGACGCAAACCAAAGCCCAGAAAACCTAAATGAATTTCTGTTCGCAGACGACCCATGTCTTATTCATCTTGACCAACAAAGCCTCCAAAATCACACTATCGAACTCAACAACAGCTGTGAGAAATTCAACATGAAAATAAGCACATCAAAAACAGAAGTTATGAAAGTGAGCCGAAGCATAGTCCCCTTAACATCCATGTCAATAGTAAACAACTGAAATAGGTGAAGGAGTTTAAATATCTTGGCAGCACTTTTTCTGAAAACGGGTCCATAGACAGAGAAATAGAAATACGAACTCAAAAAGCCAACGCTGTCACCTACCAGCTCGCACCCCTCTTATCTCATCCAAACATCTCCATGGACATAAAGAGACAGCTTATCACCGCGATATTCGTACCAACATTCTGTTATCAGTGCCAAACCTGGACTTTAAGCCAAACCCATGAAAGCAAAATCACCGCATGCGAAATGAAATGTCTCCGCAAAACCTTTAACATCACTAGATGAGACAGGCAGAGAGATGAAGAAGTAAGAGCAGCTATCGGCACTGAGTCCTGCCTGCGTTACATAGAAAGACAGGATAAAATGGTTTGGCCACCTGTTACGCATGTTACCTGACCAGCCAGCCTCGAGAGCCTACAACACCAAGCACTCAGGCTATAAAGGAAGAGGAAGGCCACGCAAAAGGTGGATCGAGGATGTCAAGGAAACCCTAAGAAAACATAACATCACAACTGAAAGAGCTGCGGAGCAGGCCTACCATAGAAAACTGCATCTCCCCTCGACGCTTAACGGCAACAGAGGATGAAAAAGTAAAAAGTAAAGGTAAAGTAAGTAGTCAGATTAGTGGACGGGTGTTTCTACTCTTTCTTTTCTTTTCTGCAGATTCCACACCAAGATGGCATGTTGCCCTTGATCTCTACACATCCTCTCCACAACCTTCGCTTTCTGCTGTCAGAGCCAGTCTATCGCCAACAACACTTATGTTCCAACATTATCACAGCTATGGAAAGAGCCCCTCTACTTGACCAGGCCTTCCTGGGAGACAAGGTTGTCAAAGATGATGATGGTGAGACAGTTCACGTGGAGGAAGATTTGCCATTTGGACCAGGTTTTGACTTCCCCTACCAGTTCGACTCGGATGTTCGAGAACAGAAAAGTCTCGTGCTTTATAGACACCTCAATTTGAAGAACTGCATTTGGCAGTTTGATGCCTGGTATGTGGGTTTACTGTTTGCCGTAACATTTTGTCAAATGTCATATTCTATAATTTGGTTTCTGAACTAATTCTTTCTTTATCGGATGTTATTGCCCCCTTGCTGTCAATAGCTATCGAATTTATATTTTTTAAACTCATTAGTTTTTATCTCAAGCTGTTGTCTAAAGCATAGTAAATTTTTGTTCAAATTACATCCTGAGAACAACATTAATGTAACTTTTTGTTTTGAATTGCAGTTAGGAAACTATTCCTTAACTTGCATCGTTTCCCATTTCTGTGAATCAGTTTGACTCTTGGTTGAATGTTACTCCCTTATTTATGTAACTGAGATTTTTTCTCAGGAAGTATTCAAATTTTAATCTGGTTTCTCCCAAAAGAGTTATTTGCACTGTTGTTCAATGCATTCACACCAATGCTTTTGGTGTACCTGATTTCACATATTATTTCAAAGTCCCCATTTATATTTCTGACACAGGTACCATATGACAGAGCTTGTGGACATGTGTGGGGGACGGATTGTTTCTGACTTTCAGGTGAAGGATCAGTCAGACACTCATCTCACAGTGCGGGTGCCTCTGCATGTGTCCTACATCTATGCCACGGCTCCAACTGGCTGGGGATCGCTGGAACATCGCACAGAGATGGAATTTTCATTTTATTACAAGTGAGTCTTTGTTCTTGTTTGACCTGTGGATAGATTTAAAGAGAACTGTCATTACAGATACGGCCATTTAGACCGGGGAGGGGGGGGGGGGGGAGAGTTGAACTTCAAAACCTACTATTACTATTGGTGCTTTCTGACAACACATTCATCTGAACAAGTGTTTTCATAATTTGATGACGAATGAATTGTGGTGTACAGACTCATCCTTTTGAGGAAAGGAAGGATTATGAGGTTTACTGCTGACTGTCAAAGTGAGAGAGGATTAGCAAGTGATTATACAGTGCCAGACAAATGATGTTCTCATTTTTTTAATGAAATTTCTCAAATCTATCGAGAGTAATAGTGGTGTGAAATTGGTGTGTTCATGTAGCTATCAGTTTGCTATTCTGTCTTTGAGGATGATTTTTTAAAGTGTTTGATTTGCTGTTTTCTCAAGTTAATAAATATTTTTTTTAATGTTACCATTTATGATTATCTCACATCAACATTGAAAATGAATCATACCATTTTTCTTGCCAAATCAGGATTGTTTGTTTATTTCTTGTTTCCAGCACTGTTCTATGGCGTGCTGGGCTAGAGACTGAGGGGCGTCAGAATGGAAGATTGCAAGTTGTTCGTATTCTCATTGGAGATGATGGGAAACTGGTGATCGAATTCCGTTCTCAGGCCAAATTCAGAGGTTTGCAGCAGAATGTAGAAGTTTGCTTTCTGCTTTGGTCACTTATGTTTTTTCTCTCCTTGATAAGAAAAATGTCTACGTTATTTAAAATGCATTTTATTTTTCTAGTTTACTGTGCTCTTTCTTTTCCAACATATAAAGTACAAAGCTAATGTCACTATTATTATTGATATGTATTCATCTACTTTGAATTATTTTTTTTTGTTCCCACAATTATGCAGACTAATTACTGCCATTTTAGATAACCCTGGATATTCTTTTATATCTGAGTACCTTAACAGATTTTTTTAAAATCAAGGAGTTATTACAGTTCTGTTGCATAAACTTGCTGTTGACTGAATGTTTTTTTTACTCTAATGTAAAAACCCATCGACTTTATTGAAACCATTTTAGAAGTAGACTGCTTTGATTCCACCTGTGAAGACCAGTGTGGTGTGAGTGGGATATTGCAGACAAGCAGAGATACTAGAAGAAATATCTTTCCTTCATGGGATTCTCAACTCATGGTGTGGCGGGTGAAGATTCTAATCATTAGATCTCAAACTTGAGGGTTTTTTTTTAAAGCTTATGCCAGTGTAGCATTTTAAAAGGAAATTTTTAAAAAGTATACAGGTATTTCAAAGTAAGCACAATATTTACAAATGATAAAGAAGCACTGACAATATTTTGCTTTGTCGATTGTATTAACAATTGAGTATAGATTTGGTTTGCTATCATATATCCTCTTTATATAGGAAGGTGGGCATAACCAAGAAAATATGCCTTGTTTCTTCCTGTATATACTTCCCATTTACAGAGAACCAAAGCTGTTTCTGAAATTTTACTGAACTTCTTCTTGTAAGGTTTGTTTGTGGCAAAACATCACACTCTGCCTGGAGTGGAGAGCAGAGTCGTTGCTCCTGAATCCCTGTCTATAACCTTTGACCTGGAGTTGGTTTGGAGTCAAAATACATTTGATAGTCCTCATCAAGTCTGGCAGGCAAAAAGCAGGTTTAATTTGAAGGTGAGATAAAACTTAATATTTGTTTTCTTTCGAAAGGATAGCCTTCTAGCATTGTTGTTGGTTGATTTGTTACATGTAACGATTTTTTCTCCTATTACAGTTTTCTTTGGGCAGCAAATAATGGAAAGTATCCTTCTTGCAGGAGCTGTAACTTTCTGCAAGTTGACAAGATGATTTATGTTTCTGCTTCAGTTGTGTTGTAATAGTAGACTTCATTCAAGTCTAGAAGGATAAAGTTGTAGATCCTTTTTGCTCTTTCATTTATATGGTACTTAAACTAATATTGCAGCATTGCTTATGCGTACACCACTTGCATCTATGGCCTCAGTTATAACATCCGTATACAGTAAATATTAACAACAGGACCTCTTTTTTCATGTACATGTAATGTATTTGTGCAGGACTACACCGGGGTGTACAGTGTGGAGCTGGTACCGTGCATTGTTTCTGCCACCCAAGGCTTTGTCCAGGCAGATCCTCTTCCCTGTGCTGCTCAACAGCCACAAAAGTAAAGCTGTGGGGCAGTGGTTATGTGTTGTGTGCTAGTGTACAATCTTTGTGCAAATGAAATGGGGGGTTTCATGTAAGCTGAGAGAGAGAGAGAGAGAGAGAGAGAGAGAGAGAGAGAGAGAGAGAGAGAGAAAGACATTAGTCTACCACAAAAGTACCATCTTGCTCAGAAGAAAAAAGATATAGCCACATCCTTTTGTATTTCAGTGTTACATGAGGGAAAGATTGCTCTTTAGCTGGGAACAAATGCTAGACTGCTCCTGTTGGGTTCAGAGATTGGCTCTCTCCTCACTGAACTAAGTTTTAACTTCCGTCTCATTTAACATGAATGTGAATGTTGCTTGAGACGAATAATTAATTTGTACCAATCCAAGAGCGATTTTATTGGCCTTTATCTTTCTTGCAGAAGTAATACCTTGCTAAGATTTTGCGATGAAAGGAAACTTTACTTGAGTCTTGTTCATTTTTTCTACTGTGTCGGGTGTTGATCTTCAGCACAAGCTATGTGAATTACATAAAGAGGGTATTGGGCTGACAATAGTTATAGGATTTGCCAGGCATTTGACATTATCATTATACTGATTTTATTGAATAAATGTTTGGGTCAAAAGGCACACACAATCTGCTGGAATGACAGCGACATTGTAAAAGTTTCAAGGTTAAATTTTTTTCAGGTCTTTTATGATCATATACTTTGAAGAAGTAAAGAGCTTCCTACTATAAATATAGTATTTGTTATTCTGTTCTGTACATATATATCTGCTTTTATACTCATCATTCTCATGTCCTGTCCAGGTTCGATGTACCTATCTCTTTTCAACAAACCAACCGCCCTGTGCCAGTGACGTACTCACTTAACACAGATTTCCAGCTCAGCAACAATCTGAAAATGTTCCTCTTGGATCCCACCACTGAGGGAATGGGGAAAGAAGACTGGGAGTTCAATGGAGCATTTTCTAAAGGTAAAGATTGAAAACAATCATATTTTAGAGAGTGTTGAAGCTGCTGTTGTCAGATGCTTGTTGTAATTTTTTGGTGAGAATATTGGATATCTTTCCCTTCCAATTTCTCTGTCTCTTTAATGGTCTTTGTTCAAATTTAAGTTTGTTATTTATTTTACTTTTTTATGGTTTAGGTTTGGTAAGGCCTTAATGGAGAAACGACTATTATAGTGTGGAAAAAGGACTATAGTGTGTTTGCAGATTGAAGAGTTACTTGAAACATTTGGAATTTTTTGTCCCTTCGAAATAGTATTTTTTGGTTTTTTTCTAAAGAGCTTTATTGGCAGTAAATTATAAAAAAGTGTAGCTTTTATGATAAATACATTCAGAGTTATCAATGTAAAAATTATTACATTGTTTATGTTGGTGAATAGAATTTCTGTAATTTTAGTCAGTTATAAAGCTATAAGAACCGTTTTCTTTATGATTATCATGTCTTAATTTCTCTACATAATATTATGGTTCCCAGGGCAAAAGTTGTACGGGCGTGTACTGTGGAATCATGAACAGGATTTGAAGACAGCTTACCGCCTGGTCTTAGAAAAAGTCTACCTTTGCACAGGTATAGCATCTATGTCAAGATAACCTATTCTAATTGTCTTGAATAGCAGAGTAACAAAGCCATATTGAGTGTTCAAAGTATATTAAGAGAAATGTTGATTATTGTCCGTGTCTTTTGTGACCCTGTTTTTTTCTTAACTCATTCGCTACGCCGAGCCGTGGGGGGCGCGCGGCTAAAGTGCCGTCAGTACGCTAAGCTGCCCCCGGCGGCGCGAGAACCGATCTTCAAATTTAGCTTAGATTCTATTCCAATCCACATGCCATGTTAAAATAAAGGTCATAATATAATGTTGACTTTCGGGTCAAGCATTTCCACTGAAAATCTGAAATTTAGGGATTCAGTTTTGAAACGCGATTTCGCAGTTTTTTCGACTTTGTTTTATCGCGCTGCCAAAACTATAGCCCAGACACAAGGAGTTTAGAACTAATGGAGCCTCCTCTCTCTCTTCGCGGCGCCGCAAGCAGTACGCCACGTTGGGGATCAAATATGGCGACCGAGTGTGGGCTAAATCACGAACTGTGGCGTTTCTTTTTATAGAATCTTATCGGGCTGGGCCACGTTGTGGGGGTGGGCGGGGTGGGGGAATGCACGCAAGGAAGAAGGGATGGGGCTGGGATTAAAGAGGAGGGGTGGGCCTTGGGAAGGGACGAAGGAGAATGGGAAAAATTTAATAAGAGAGAGAGAGAGACAGACAGACAGACAGAGAGAGAGAGAGAGAGAGAGATTGTGATCAACTGACGGGATGACGGAAAGAATGACAGGGAGAAAAAAAAATTAAAGTCTGTGTGTGATACGAACTGTTCTAGGCAACTATGAAAGCCTAGGGACTGTTCAATTATTTAAGAATTTTACGTTGTATATAGTTTAAAAATCAAGAAGATCGTTAAAATAAGAAAAGAAAAAACTTATGCAAGTAGGGCCTATCATAAAATTATCAAACATACATTATAAAGATTATCTTTCATGACGCTAAAAGATTTAATTATAATAAGAAATGATGAAAAATGTATTTTTAAAAACTGAATTTAAGATATGACTGCAGGATTCTAGACATGGGTATGAGGAGCTCTTATTGCGAGTTCGATGTTCGGCAAAATCAAAGGCGTCGATGAGGAGTTCACACCTGGGCGTGATTCCTTTGTCGTAAAATCCTTGCGTCTGGAGCAAACGTGTACCTCGCATCGAGATGTGATCCCATACATGAGCATGGATGACCCTTGAAGATTTTTTTTTTTGTTCAGTAAAGTACGATAGGGAAAGCAGCGTTTTTAGTCCCTTCACACTTCAGAGGGGGGTAATTTATCACGACTAGTGCAGTAAAATTTATTGTTGCTTCGTTTGGTTTATTTTTGAACAGCGAAATCTTAAGTGGACCGGAATTATAAATTGTGGGATCTTAAGTGAAGACTACAACAATAGATTTAGATCCAAGCCGAGTATAGTTCTATCAAACAAGACTCAAACTCTGATCCACCCACCCTCATCTGATATGGTTTAGTGTTTCTTTAACATAGAAGATATTCATCACTATTGTTGTTGGGTATTGATTTCATATTTTAATGGAGCCTCTCGATATCTACATTTACACAACAGCAGTCTTATAGTAATTAGGAGATGAATGGGCTTAAAAACATAAAACAAGTGTGGCTCCTATCAGTAGTCTTATAGTAATTAGGAGATGAATGGGCTTAAAAACATAAAACAAGTCTGACTGGCTGATTGAACTCAACACGCTAAGGTGTGTTATATGATTAGTAAATATATATGAAAACAAGATACGTGTAGAAACATAGACTCTAGATTTTGTCCCGTCAAAATAAAGGTATGCTGCGCATAGCATCTAATTTACACACACAATGGAAAGCAATATATTATACTTTAATTAAAATGTTTAATATGTATACAAACACACACACGCACACAAACACACACACACACACACACACTAGAATAAGAATTTCTTTTTTAAAAATCAAATATCTCGGTCTTTCTTCTGGGGTGTTGTTACAGTGTACCCCTTTCTGCCCGGGTTGGCCTTGGCAGGTAGCGCCGCAGCCAGCCCTTTATTAAAGTTAATGATCTAAATTGTGTCGCTGGGGGCATAAAAACACTTTCATTCAGATTTTTAAAAAAGGAAAACAACACCTGTGGAAACTTCTGTCCACTGCAGCATCATATCGGTTCTTACACTTAAACACAACGCAGGTGGAAGGCATTTTTTAAAATTGACTTGCCTAATCTCGGAATAAAACCTTCTTTCTTATCTAGATTTCATTGCGTGAGCGCAGCGCAGGTAGACCACAGTTCCGCTGCGAGAGAGGGCTCCTATCAGGCGTGCGGTGCCGCCTACAGAGCATCCTCCATTACTTTTAATCTCCTTGCCCAGACACCAGTTTTTGTAATTTTACACAACAACATCTATCATTATTTTGCCCACTAAAGAAGTGTAGGACTCTTTTTTATAATATTGATACGATTGGACTCATATTGCCAATGCAATGTTATTGAGAAATCAATATTTTTGAGTGCTAGATCTAGATCTAGGTCTAGATCTAAATAGTCAAAATATTTTTTTCTCCCCAAATTCACTACTTTTTAATGAAATTACACAAAAAGTGCCACTCAAGACATGCATAGGCTTATTCCAAATGCAATTCTGAATAATTCCATATAAGATACGAGCAGGTTTTTTTCTGTTTGTGATCGTTTTTCAAGATTATAAAAAATTTTATTTATTTTTCAATATCGGATGTTATGTTCAAAATGTACAAATATTATGAAATGTAGGTAAATAACTGCAAACTTTTCAATATTTTCCAGTTCTATATTCATTTATGGTTATTTTGATGTATCATTTGACTAGGTGCAAACATATTTTTTGAGTTTCACCAAAGATTATAATTCTTTTATTTTCAAATTTTATCCGCATCCAATCAAAACTGTGTTGCATAATCGTCTCTTACAGGAACCAAAGTTGAAAAATACATAAATAAACATTACAGATGTATTCTACAAACCATACTGAAAATATTGGTATATAATACGTTGATATTTATTTGAATTTGTGTCCCCAAAGACCTTTTAACTGCTCACTAGTCATCATCTCTTTCGCTCTCCCGAAAAAAATTCGTCCACAAGCCGAAAATAATACGTAGCGAATGAGTTAAACTATGTGAGATGAATTAGTTCCTACGCTTCGACTTATACTTGTATTGGGTTTATCAAGATGAAAAATAAATTGAAGGTCTTGCCTTTCCCAACTTTATTATGTTGAATTGGGTTTTGAACGTGTGGAATATAAATCTTTTATGGTTAAATGTGCAAGAAAAGAGATTGGGATTGGAGTAAGTTTTTTGGTATTGTGTTGAAAATGAAGAGTGACACGTATGTTTTGCCTTGTTTTAACTTTCTATATCCAGCCTTTTTTGGCATGCATTTGCAAAATTGGAAAAATCCACTATCATAACAGAACATTATCATCTAGACCTATGCAGTACAAACACACTCATCGGTTGTGGCAGATCAGTATCTCTTAGCTAGAATACAGCATTAGTCCCCCTTAAATAGGAGTTTAGATGGAAGCTTTGTTGAGTCAGAGTTGGAGAAGAGATTGGTATTGGCTAATATTGTTGTTCTGATTCCTGACAAGCTGAGCTTGATGGATGATGTAATATTGTTCGGATTGTGGGTACAAACAGATTTAGAGAGACTGAAGAAACGCACGCTCGAAAGGGCTCTTTGTTTTATTTTTATCTTCTAGTACACTGTAACCGAAAAGTGACTACTGAATAAAAGAAAGGTAATAAATCCCGATATGTTACCTAACAGTTATAACAGAAGTGTTATGTAATGTACATTATTCCACAGATGACAGGAGTTGAAAATTATTACTCATGCTTAGTATTATCTTACACTGGTGCTTGGACTGATGTTCTCTGCAGACCCATAGTTAAAGGTGCTTCATAGAGATACATAGTGTGTCTTAAAATTTTAAAATTCAAATTTCAGGACTGGGCTTTTTAAAAAAGTCATTGTGCATTATTTTACAGGGAGAGATGGTTATATTCCAACGTATGATCCCAGCGGAGACACATATGGTGAAGGAGCGCAATTTGGTTGCATTCAACCGTCAAAGAATCTGCTGCACAGATTTCTAATTCTGGTGAGTAAGCTATTGACTCAGACCGCTAGAATTTTGGCTTGCGTCATATTGAAAGACTGATTGTTCTGTACTTATTTTATTTCAAACATAATGCAATATTCCAAATTACAGCAATTCTGCAATATAATGATCTGTTTTGTTTTTCAGAAGAAATTTTCTCTGAATTTTTTTTTTTTAAAACAATATTTTTGTTTTTGAAGTATCCTGATTTCTAAACAAAATATTAGGTTCACTACAGTAATAATGGTACTGACAGTATAACTCATTTCTATATCACCTATCTCCCTTCAAGTGAGCCCTGGATTCACTGTGTAGGGTCATGCAGACCAAGAAATAACTTTTGTGCAAACACTTACACACATGCCCCAACTGATACTTACGTACACACTGCATATACACACCCAACCCGCGACACAAACACACACATGTTGACACACACACACACACACACACACACACACACACACACACACTCACACACACACACTCACACACATACACACACACACTCACACCCATCCCCAACCCCATATACTTTTGGTTTCACTTGAAATATTCTCTCTATATGCTCACAGGACCACTTTATGTAAAATCAGCACAAAAGTCAATTGGATTTTTATTAAATTATATGAATGATATAGTTGCTAATTTGACTGAACATTCCTTATGAATTTGATCCGCTTTTTTGAAAATATTTATTTTTCATGCTTACTCAATTTTTTAAAGTTCCAAATTGTTCATGATTTGAAGACAGATTATGCCATCCAAATGGTGATAAAGTTCTTTTGTTTTTCTCTAGGACCGAGAAAATCCAGATGTGATTACCTCCGATTTCCATCAAGTTCCATTCCAAGCTCAGTTTGCCAGTGAGAACCAGGAGTTCTCTCCACTCTCTAACCTGCCCGGTGTTGATGGTTTTATCATGGACATAGATCCTCTGTACAAGGTAAAAACCTTTTTGTTATTTCATGTTATCTTTTACCTCTCTCTCTCTCTCTCTCTTCTGGCGCTGTGGCTTCATAAACGGTCAGCGATGCCGACAGCACGCAGGAACTCAACACTTGCCTGGGGGTCCTTAAACCTTTTAAAAATCTTTTACCTAACTGTCTAGATTATTGTAAAGGATTTCGTCTGCTAGCTATTCAACTGTTGTAAGCTCGTCAGAGACCCGATGTTGTGTTCTTGAGGAAGACACTTTACAGAAAATTTCCTTGCTTACCCCTGGTGGGATGGGTATCTGGCTATTGACAGTGAAAGATCTCGTTTTTTCATTAATGTTTGATTGCTTAATTGGCTGTGTGCACTGTATGCTTCCCAAGAAGCCGAGAATGTTTCTGAGTGTTCAGAGTCTGCTGGGGTAAAAATTATGATAAAGTGCATAAAGTAAGCTGTAGAGCATGTATATGGGCAATAAAAATGCAATTATTTCTATAATCTTCCCCTTGTGGGACTGAAACTCACGTAATTTGCATGCTTGAAGAAGGACCTAACCCTCACACAAAGGGCGTCAGTAATTCGGTCTGTTACCCTGCTCCCCCCTCCCCCTTTCCCCCCTCTCCTTCTGTCTCTGTGTCAGTGTTATTCATTACTCGAACTTAGAAAGTCTTAACTGTTTGTCTTCAGGTGGACTCAGGCCATCAGTGGTATCTGCAAGTGATCTACACCATTTCCCCAGCTGACTTACCAAAGCACAAGATGAAGCGGTCTATATCTGCCATGTACAGATCATCACATTCACCATTAGTGTCAGTAGTCAAAAAGTCATCTTCAATAAAGCATCAAAAACTCATGAAACGTCGCCATGCCTTGACCACCAGATCAAAGGCCAAGATAAGCTCTCATAAGTCAAGACGTAAGAGAGATGCAAAGGCAGCTGCTTTTCACAGTAATCAAAAGGGCAGTTCACCATCTTCAGCACCGGTGTCATCTGGGGAACTTCGCAATGGGACAAATATGAGACTTTTACATCTCGTCTTTGACAAATCATCAGGTGCAAATTCATCACATCAGTTCCCAATCGCTGCCATATGTGCCCCAGTTATATTAGTATTATTATCTTCTATTATTATAATTGTATTATGTGTAAGAAAGAGACGTCGAAGGAAAGAGGTACTAGCAAAGTCTAAAACTCTGGTGACCATAAATAATCAGTTGCAGAGAGGTTGTCTCGCACGGACAATCAGAAATTCTGAAGGTGTGTCATTTAGTCCGCCAAAAAGTGACAATAGAAACAATGCTGCTTCCGTCAGTAGATGTAACATTATTAAGCCGAAAAATGTTAATAAGCTGGCGAAGCAAGGAATAAATGTTGACAGTGGAACTGAAGTATGATCCCTCAAGTTTAATTGTTGTTAAGTCTTTTTCGTATACTTAAATGGAGTGGCAATTTAAGTGATTGTCCTTACAAACAAGTGCAATTAATATTTTCGTAACTCTTTTTGTATAAGAAGCATTTAGTGACCACTGAGACATTCCTTATTTGTTTGTCATGTGTACAAATGTTAGTAGTGTGCTGAAAATAATTGCAAATATCTGTGAGAATTGTCAAATGCAAAACTTTATCAAGTTATTTGGCGCCAGAGACTGAGAAGGATACAATATGTGTTTCTGTTTTAGTTTTATTTTCCCACAAATGTAAAAAAAAAAAGTCATGAATTTATCTGTCAAGTTGAATGTTTTGGATTGATTTAATTTTGGAAAGTCTTTTTTATCTTGTTAAAAACTTTTTTTTCATATATTTTCAAGTTACTGTTTGATGTTAACCCATAATGAAAATTCTTCAAGAGGATCCAGTTCAACAACATTTAATTTAAAGTAAGTAATGATAAGACATAGAACTTTTAAAAAAATATGTCCTTTCAAGTTTCAAGTCTAGACAATTGTATGGTATTGAGTGAAAGAATGAGAACATAGATGGTTAACGTGTGTTTGTGCTGTGGTAAAATATGCTTGTACAAGAATAAGAGACTGCGAGGGTATAAATATCTGGATCTGATGTTCACGAAGTTGTTTTTGTATCTGTAAAATAATGTATGGTCTTCTTGTGCCTTCAGTCAATTTTGATAGTTTCAAATGTTGTACAGTGAAATTTGAAGACAACGAACTCAAGATTCAATGAAAACTTGGACTCAACGAAAGTAGGATCAATCATTTTAACATGCTTAAATGTCTGATGCACCTTTCTTATAAGAAACACTGGGATTCAACAAACTTCAAAATTGGGCCTGGCAGCTCTGTTATATTCGAGTCTCACAGTATATTTTTCCTCCAAATTAAAACTGAAGGGTCTGTTTCAAATCTCTCTTTTGATATGCACTTTAGTTGAATGATGACCTGCTGAATGTAAACATTGCATTAAAAAAAATTAATGTCAACAAATGCTTTGTAGGTGCTAAGTTTGAGAGTGTGAATTAATTGTGAATGATTTGAATACATGAGTTGTTTGTAATTTACGGTATACTTCTTCCCCTCCCCCCCCATTGTTGTTTATTAGTCTTCAATTATGTATTGTTGTCTCTCGGATTGTAACCTTAAACAAAGCATATTTAGTGGGGGTTTTCTCTTTTCTTAATTCCCTCTTAATTATCTTTTTACAAGATATTATAATTTAGAGAGTGGAAATCTGACTTTGGGAGGGTTATATTGTTAATCCAGTCTCTCTTTTCCAGGAGAAAGAGGAAATGACATAATAAAATTGGTCTCCCGTTTAAGGACTAATAATAATAGTAGGATGGGCTTGTAAACTCTACTTTTTTCCATTTCACTTTTAATTCTTGTCTGACGTGTCTATGCTTCTCAATGAAATACACTGATCACTTTTACCATTTTTTCGGTTTATTTAGAGGGAAAAAAAGAGTGAACAAGTAGTTAGTATTTGTCCAAAGAAAAATGTATAGCCTACAAATCTGGTGAATGAAAAATGAGAGCAAAATGATATTTTACAGATGTTAAAATGTTTTAGTGGTCTTCAGTTCATCCTGCATCAGTTGTCATGGATATCTTTTCTTTCCCTTTTTTTTTTGCTTCAGAGAAACCGGTACTTCATGCTTTTCTCATTGCCCTCCTCATTAGAAATGTTGCAAAGAATTAATCATGTTTAAAATGAAGATGTATGTTGTGTGGAGTGTGGCTGTTTTTGGTATTAAATTGCTGAACAAATGGTCAAATTTTGGAGTTGAACCAGTTAGAGACACAATGTGTGACGGAAAAGTATGCTTGAAAATGTCTGTATTGTTTGACTGGGAGATTATAATATTTTGTCATTGAATGTAGGCCTACGTTGTATACATGTGAAATTAGCTGAGATATGACTTCTTACAAGTCTGCTCATAACATTATGAAATTATTTTATGTTTGTACTTTCACTTTTACAATTACCAAATGAATGATCCATAATTGTGATCAATCTAAAAAATTGCCTTACCTCTAAATGCTCACACAGCACAATACTTTTTTATATATGAATTTTTGTTTAACCTATCTTTCATGTTTTGTGTAGTCAACTGAAGTGTATATTCGCTATCATTGTTTAGTATTTTCTGTAAAGTAGGATTGTAATTTTATGTTGATGTCCTTTGGTAAACGGGTCAATTTGCTGATACACTTCCTATGCTGTTCTTTGTTTCCAGTGTACTCATTAACAAATAGCTTGTATGTACATTTCTTTAAACAAGCTTTTCATTAACTTGTGCCATAATTTGGAATAGTTTGTTGCTTTTCACCAATTAAGGTGGCATCGGTAGTCTGGTGGTTAGGCTACTGGACTCGTATTCATAAGGCTGCAGGTTCAGGGATTCAAAGTTCAGCTCAGTACCATGTTGTATCCGTGGGACAGGCACTAAACACAAATTTTCCCCCATTAGGAGCTTGTTCCTATCAGAAATGGATATTAAATTCAGAGGTCCCGCCTCTTAAATAACCTTACAGTGTTACAAGAGAGGTTAACCTTATTCAATTTCATGTTTTATCAAAAAGTAATGTGGCCTAATGGTTGAAAACGTTTACTCACCCAACACTGATAAGGCCATGGACTATACTGATATGAGCACAACTTTGAGTTTAGGTATGGGTCATGACCCTAGATAATGTCATTCTTGAAAGTCACCACTGACAATTCTGTTGTGACTGTTGGTAGACATTACTTTTATGAGAAAGGAAGCGAAAGGTGGATCAGAGCCAGAATCTACAATTTGGACAGAAATGTTTTTAAAATACTTCGAAACATCTTTTTTATGCTCTAAAGTTATGAAAGTTTTTAGTTTAGTTGCATCTGTAACACTATAAAATCATATAAGCGCCAAAGATTAGATGTGTTACAAGAGAGTAACAAATATAAAAAAAGGAGGACAGATCACGATGACAGGTGTTTGATAGGAAAGAAGAAGCAAACCACACCAGAGTACCCACCAACACCCACTATGGAAGTGTGTACGCCTCTGAGCTCATTATTAACAAAATTCAAGCTCGAACAAATCTTGAAACCCACAAAATGTACTTATGGAAGTACGTACGTACATTTTGTGTTTCAAAGATTTGTTTGAGCTTGAATTCTGTAAATAATGAGCTCAGGCATGGCACAACCTGAACTGTTGTGCTGTTCATCGCTTTATACTTGAGCGGCATGATATGCAAATGTTAAATCATCAGCGTTACTTCATAATCGCCCAAATCATTTTCTGGGGGTTTCCAGACAGTGCTGTTATTCAAACAAAGACATCAAGGGACATTATCTTACAACATAATTTTGTTCTGATTTGGGTATTTCTTTCCTCGTTTTTAATTGAAAAATAACGAGTGCCCAAGTCATGATTTTGATTTAGGCGCTCTCTTTTGCTTTAATTTTTCTCAATACTGCAAAGAATGACTTAAGTGCTTGTGGAATTATAATAAACTGCTGTTCTTCGGTTAATCCAGTTAGAAATGCTGGTACTTCACCTATAATTCACGATTTTGTTAATTTAAGTGGATGTTTTCCATTTTGGTTAAAAGTAAAAGTGCATTATTTTTCTGGAGCTTGCAGTACAGGAGATAGTGGGGTTTGACTTTTTAATTCTAGATGTTAACCGTTATGGCTGCTTGCTGGATGGAAAACATAAAAAAAAACACAGCACAAGATGGATATACTAAATATTTTCGTGATTTGACCCAAAATTTTTCCTCAGACCCTCAAATACCATTTCCTTGTATAGTTTGATCTCTCACACTAATGTTGAGATGTGTCTCATTTTGACAGGTTGAATGGTGTTACCATGGCTTCAGATAAAAATTCAAAATAAAGCCTATAACTATAATGGATACAGTAGTATCCGCCTTAACGCATGGTGCTCGGGAGGGCTCCTTAGCGTGTGTTTATACGGAGCGTGCGTTTACATGAACCTTTGTAAAGGGAGGAAGGGACGCAGTCATCTCAATTTCTTATTACTCTAGTGACCTCCCTTGGAGGGTGGGGGTCATTTTGGCAGATAATGTGACAACACATGACTGTTTTGTGAAGGATTCCCCGACTGGGCTTAAGAATAAGAATACAAAGGCGTCCGGGGGGGGGGAGAAAACCGACTCAATGTAAAGAATATGCACTATAAGATAGCCTAAGAGGAAACTGTTGGCGACAGTCATAGTCATAGAGACGACGGCCCAACCACGTGGCTTTCCAAGCGACCACCCCCGACGGTATATTCATGGACGACATCAACATCATAGATCTCTACATTCAGAAAAACATTTCTTTTGCGATTCGTTGAAAAAGTACGTCTTAAGTTCTTCGAGCGCAGCTGATTAGGCTTACTTGGCTATAGAGGCCTGTCTGGTGTTTTACACGTGTCGCGCATCAGGCCTAGGTCTAACTTAACAATGCCGTCACCCAAACACCTGTCAGAAATCTTCTCTCAAAGATACATTTCCAGTGACCAATCAAAAAACATTTCAGTCCCCCAATCCCCCCCCCAAGATTTCACCAAACAGGCCTAGACCTATATGTCTGCGGAAAGTTGGGAGTGAAAACGCTGTCCATCACTCTCTATGTCCGGCGTGAGGGGCACTCTCACCAAATATCCGGTTTTCTAGACGTCTTATGCAGGCTGTGCAGGTTATAGTGAAAATTTCGCCTTGTCAAGCTTAACCTGTCAGCGTGTTTCACGGATCGGAGCGTGCTTTTAGAGGGAGTGACCGTGCGTTTGTACGTCTAAATTATTTAGTAAAAAACCCGTCAGATGACGAAAGCGCGCATTTGAGCAGAGCGTGCTTTTGAATGGCGTGCACTTAGGCGGAGACTACTGTATTGCCATTGCTCATCACCTGGTGAGCAACAGACTTTGCCGATGGACTCAGTATATATCCTGCTTGTGCTAGCAAGGTGTTCATTTGTCTTTAAATGTATTACGAATCTGACATATATTATATACATATACATAGAAATGAGCTTTGAGAATACAAGCAATGTATTATCCAATTTGTAGAGTTGTTTTCAGTTTTTGTCAGTAAAGCGTAAGCACTATCATTCTCTTCTTTCATATATTTTTCTGTATGCCTCTGAGACATAAACAGTGGAGACATACTATTCCTACTCAATTTTATGTTGGCCAGACTTTCAATTCTGAAATTCTTCTTCCTCTTTTTCTTCACATTTGAGTACAAATTGATTGTCTGGTT